ATATATAAATTAATTTATATGGACACAATACCTTTATTTATTTTTGTGAGTTGCTGAGGATTGAACCCAGGAGGCAAGCGCTCTACCACTGAGCCATCCCAGCCCTTGCTTGCTTTTTTATGTGGTACGAGGATAGAATCCAGTGCCTCACTCATCAGTGCTAGACAAGCGCTCTACGAATGAGCTACAACCCAAGCCCTCAAAAAATTCTTAAATCATGTCTCCCTTTCCTTCATGCTACTTCCCTCAAGGAGAAAAAGGAGTGAATCAATCGTCTGCAAAATAAAAAAAGGGCAGTCAGGTTGTCTGAAGGATAAGGGTTAGGGAGAATGGACTCTGAAGGGCTCAGAAACCCAGGGCTCCGAGCACCCGCACCGCTAGCCCTCCTAGTACCCAGCGCCCCAGGCCCCACACCACCCGCGCTGTCAGCTTTGCCCCGGCCGATCTTCACTGCTAGGAATCACAGCGCAGGTACCAAGATGGCGCCACCAGGCTGAGGCTCGTCCGCACCCCAGCGACTCCGCACTGCGGCAGCCCCGGCGAGGCGGCACCCTATTGGTCAATAGCGATGAAGTCATCGTGGAGGCGGGGGCTGGCGGGGGCGCAGGGGCGGGGTCTTCTGACGCACGCACGTCGAGGTGCTGCTGCCCGGAGCCGCGGAGGCTGTGAGCTTTCTTGGTTGCGGCGGCGGCTGGGCCGGCAGCCGAAGGTGAGCGGGGGTCATAAGTATAGTGCGTCCGGGAGCGGCCTTCGAGGAACGCAGGAAATCCTTCTAATATCCGCCTTCCTTGTGGAAGGAATTAGCAGGGATCTTGGGGCTCTGGAGAAAATTGGGAATCGTTCCTCACCTTGGGCACCCCTCCTATGGGCAAAGGGACCAGAGATTCACTGTCCTTTGAAAGACCTGAATTACTTCCCCGATTTAAGGAGTTAGAGGGACTGAAGTTTTTTGGGGTAGCCAGAAGAATTGTGGGGGGTGCTTGATGAAGGGTTCCCTAGTTTGGGGATTCCTGCCCTTTTTCTCCCTTACCCGGGAGATAGGTGTGCCTGGGTCCAGAGAATTCCTCCTTTCTCACTGGGTAGGAAAAGGAAATGAAGCAGGTGAATAATACCTTGGTGGAAGCCAGGACTGGATGACTGCCGTGAGTTCCTTGGAGGCAGGGCACGAGGGTCGCCTTATTATCTTTTGCAGAATTGCTCTCCATATTTCATTTTGCGACCCAAAGAAACCACTTGGGCCTAATTCGTTTTCTGTTTAACTCTAGAGGGATAGAGATTCTAGGGAGACTTGTATTCATTAAAGAACAAGAAGAGGGAGGCCACTCATTGGAGGCTATCGTTAATGGCAGCCCCTTAATTATATACTGAGCAGGCATAGTTTTATGTGTTTCGAGGTTGTGGGAATATATCCTTATTAAGCGGGATGGGGTGGGGCTGGTAACAGCTGATTTGGATGATTCAGGTACACACAGTCTTAAAATCAACCCACATAGTCTCTTGAGAAATCCTTGCTTATATTGGAGTGTGTGTGTGTGTGTGTGTGGGCGTGCGAGTTTGCTGCCTTGAACATGAAATGCAGAAAGGGTTTTGTCCTTCAGTTTCTCAAAATGTCTCCCAGCCTTCCAGAATAGTGAATCTTCCTTTGATGTCAGTCTCACTTATCAATAGGGAATACGATGACCTTATGGTACTAAAAATAGTGTATGTTTTGCTGCGGTTAGATACTGTAGAGTCCAGTGCTTCACGTAAGCTGATTGAGAGTAAATAATTTCACTTTCAGGACCACTGATAGCGCCAATTGTCTTTCATACCCGGCAAGTGTTTTCCCCAAAAGGAAACATTTATTGGCTTTTGTGTGAGAAAATTTGACTGGAAGAATGTAATTATCTCGAAGATGGAGATGAGAAATAGAAAGCTGCAGAGGTGGAAAGCTTTTTCTTTGTGGCTTGTTAAAATTGCTTTGTCATTGCAGATGTGTTCCTGTTATGCTTGATTTGATGAGCTTAATATGCAGTCTCTCTTTGTTAGATAATAGTTAATTGGATTCCATAGTGGGGGAATGGTATTTTCAGAGGAGTTTGGAAGGTTAAACCCCTTATATAGCTCCAGCTTTAGGATAATGATGGAGCTTTGGCCTAATGGGCATTGTCAGTAGAGGGGAGAAAACTTGTCACAATACAGACGTCTTTTATAAGAGGGCAATCAAGGGTTGGGTGTATGGCTCAGTGGTAGAGTACTTGCGTAGCATGTGCGAGGCCCAAGGTTTGATTCCTAGTCACAAAGGAAATAAAAAAAAATTAATCAAAGTTTCTTCTATTTGTTTCCTGCTCAACAAAACAAAAACTGAGCAGTGTGAAATGTCACTGCCTCATATTATATCCAGGATATTTAAAGAGCTGTTTGGAGTTCCCAGTTCCTGTCTTTAATCCGAATGCATTCTTATGTATTAGGTTGCCCAAAATATTGTCATTTAATCTTGATGTTGACTGCAGAGGATGTGACTTTACATCTGACACTGCAGATGTCAGATTCAGTAACTGCTTTTGCAATTTTCCATTCTCTTTTTTTTTTTTTTTTTACAGTACTAGAATTTAAGGGTGTTTTTCCATTGAGCTACTTCCCCAGTGCTTTTTATTTTTTGAGATAGGTTCAGGCAAGTTGCTGAGGCTGGTCTTAAACTTTCTCTATCTTCCTGCCTCATCCACCATACCAGGCTTCTCTTTTCCATCTTTCTGAGTAAGATATCAAAACAGTTGTTAAAAACCTGTCAGCACCGGCTGAAAGAAATAAAATTCAAAACAAAAGAGCATCTCTTGGGTATTGTTTTTAGGTGATTTCCAAAGTCATATCATTTTCTCTCTTCCCCCAGGTTGGAACAGAAGCCAGAGACTCAGTTGACTACTTTCTGCAACCATGGGGGAGCTTTTCCGGAGTGAGGAGATGACGCTCGCCCAGCTATTTCTACAGTCAGAAGCTGCTTATTGTTGTGTCAGTGAATTAGGAGAACTTGGAAAGGTTCAGTTTCGTGATGTAAGTAGTTGTGGGGCTGCTTCTTGATTACTACTGTATTCAATTTTTCTTGTCATAGCCAATAACTCTTATCATGAGTGATTTGTTTTTTTATTTTCAAATTATCATTTTAGGCTGGGTGCAATGGTGCACGTCTGCAGATCCAGCTATTTGGGAGGCTGAGGCAAGAGGATTTCAAGTTTGAGGCCAGTCTGGGCAATTTAGTAACCCTGCCTCAAAATAAAAGAATACAGAAGGCTGTGGATATAGCTCAGTGGTAGACCCTGGGTTCAATTCCTAGTACCCCCTCCCCACCCCCAAAAAAAAAAGAACCGCCTTACTGGTAGAATGTGTGCTTCAAGTTGTCTTTTCAGAGATGAGAATGTTTTGTGCCAATCCTTCCATGCTTTTGCTAGTTCCTCTTTTGAGAAGTATCCTAAACACTCTCAAAGTAATTGTTGGGATGCCAGAAGAGTAAACCTACTAGCCTGTTCTAGCATTTTCAAGGTTTTCACTTTGCTTTTGGGCTCTTTAATACACATAGCAAGATATTTTTTAAAAAATTGTTGTCATTCTTCATACAATAGGACTTCTTTAAATAAAAAAAATCAGAGGCATCAGATATAAGGGTATAGCTAAGCACATACTGATAATCCATTATTTTGAGTACTTGGAGATGATATCAAAAGAAAATGGACAGGCTTAGGGATATAACTTATTAGTAAAGAGAACACTTGCCTAGCATGTGTGAGGCCCTGGGTTCCATCCCCAGCAAACAAACACACGCAAAACGGACAGTCTAAGAGTAAAAAATGTATGCCCCAAGGGCCTTATAATCTGATAAGGAAGACATAATACACACCGCTAAAAGGAGGGAGAAGTTAATAATTCAGTACTCCCAGACTCTGATCCTCCTGTTACACTGGTCTCAAAGCTCCATGTACTTCTCTTTCATAATATTTATTGTGGTCATGATTTTATATTTATCAGTGGGAGTAGGTGATTTAAGTCTTAAAATTTTTTTTTTTTTTTTAATTTAAGTCTTTCTCTTCTATTATCTAAGCACCATGAAGACAGGGGCATTCTTTTTGTTCATTAGGGTATTTTATTTTGTACTGGAGTGCTTAACCATTGAGCCACATGCCCAGCACTTTTTATTTTTTATTTTGAGACAGGGTCTTGCTAAGTTGCTTATGACTTCACTAAATTGCTAAGGTTAGTCTCACATTTGCAATCCTTCCTGCCTTACCTTCCCAGATTACTGGGATTAAAGGCATGTATCACCATGCCCAGCTCATTATTATCTTTTTTTTTTTTAAATATTTTTTTAGTTATACGTGGACACAATATCTTTATTTATTTATTTTTGTTTATTTTTGTGTGGTGCTGAGGATTGAACCCAGTGCCTCACCTGTGTGAGGCAAGCGCTCTGCTACTGAGCCACAACCCCAGCCCTCATTATTATCTTTGATGGCTGTATCCAAGTTACAATCAATATTTGTTGAGACAAATGGATGAATGAAAGAGCAGTGATCACAAAGGGATAGAAGGAATCAATATAGGCTTCCTGGAATTAGCAAGCTTTCAAATTCTCAATCTGAGCCGAAATTGGACAAATATAATCCAGTGACTTCATTCTTCATTCTCTTTGAAGCATTTTGAACCATTTCTCTTTAACTGTTCTCCTTGATTGATTCCTTTTCTTACTTTTCTGATGGACTTTTTATCTTCTAGCCTTTCTTTGATCCTGCCTGTCCCTAATATAGGTTCAGTGTTCCCCAAGATCTCTGCTGTCTCTGGGTAAGCGTCTCTGACCCCAAAACTTCCTTTATTTCTTTTGGTGATCTCTCTAGTCTTAAATATTACATCTTTATTCATTGAGTCCCAGAATCTACATCTCTGGCCCTTAGTTCCCAGACACCATCCCTGCTTTTACAACGCTCCAAGATTATTGTCCTCCTGTAATTCTGTTTCTCAAGATCACTAGGTCTAATTCTTAGTACCTTACTTTTTTTTTTTTTTTTAATAATTTTTAAAAAAAATATTTATTTTTTAGTTTTAGGTGGACACAATATATTTTATTTTTATGTGGTGTTGAGGATCGAACCCGGCGCCCCGCGCATGCCAGGCGAGCATGCTACCACTTGAGCCACATCCCCAGCCCTCAGTATCTTACTTTTTCACAAACTATTTCAGTATCATGACTTTCTTTTCTTTTAAACATTTTTTTTTTTTTAAAAGAGAGAGAGAGAGAGAATTTTTTTAATATTTATTTCTTTTTTAGTTCTCGGCAGACACAACATCTTTGATTGTATGTGGTGCTGAGGATTGAACCCAGGCCGCATGCATGCCAGGGGAGCGCGCTACCACTTGAGCCACATCCCTAGCCCAGTATCATGACTTTCTATGTTCAATATTTTTTCAAGTTTTGTTTTCTTCTTCTTTTTTTAATGTATATTCATTTACAACAATGTTTGTGTAAATTTTATTGAGGTACAATTAATATACAGTAAGATTTGCCAATTTTGTATGTGTGCATGTTATGCTGGGGATTGAACCCAGGGCCTTGTGCATGCTAGAAAATGCTCTACCAACTGAGCAATATCCTCAGCTGATTTCTTCTTTTATAAATCTTTTTTTAGTTGTAGATGGACTCAGTAACTTTTATTTACTTATTTATTTTTATGTGGTGCTGAGGATCCAACCCAGTGCCTCACACGTGCTAGGCAGGCCCTTTATCACTGAGCCACAACCCCAGCCCTTCTTCAAGTTTTCTAGACTTGGAACATAAGTGAAACCTGTTTTATACTTAATTTGCATTTTTTTTCTCCAGTTCTATTGTGTCTCCTTTCTTTCTTTCTTTTTAAAAATTTTTTGGTAGGGGTGGTACTGGGGATTGAACTCAGGGGCACTCAACCACTGAGCCACATCCCCAGCCCTATTTTGTATTTTATTTAGAGACAGGATCTCACTGAGTAGCTTAGCTACTCACCTTGGCTAAGGCTGACTTTGAACTCTAGATCCTCCTGCATCAATCTGAGGAGCCATTGGGATTACAGGCGTGCACCGCCATGCCTGGTTCCTTTCTATTATTTTCTATTATCTATTATCTTCTTATCTTTTACTTAAATTGTATTTCAGTCATACAAAGAAAGTATAGAGCCAGGCATGTTGGTGCATGCCTGTAATCTCAACAGTTTCAGAGGTTGAGACAGGAGGATTACAAGTTTAAGGCCAACCTGGGCAATTTAGTCAGACCCTGTCTCAAAATAAAAAGGACTGGAGATGTAGCTCTGTGGAAAAGCCCCCCTGGGTTCAATTCCCAGTATTAAAAAAAAAGTACCTATATCAAACATGATCAAATTTCAGAAACAATGTTTTTTTGTTTTTTCATACTAGAACATGAACCCAAGGCCCCCAGTGTGCTAGGCAAGAGATCTACCATAGATCTACATCTTCAATTCTGTCTCAAATAAATTATGAAAGGGCTGGGGATATAGCTCAATGAAAGAGTGTGGGGATATAGCTCAATGAAAGAGTGTTTGCCTAGTGTGTGAGAAGCCCTGGGTTTCATCTCCAGCACCTACAACAGCAAATTGGAATAATAAACTGACTACATACTATCAAATAATGTTTTTATGAGCCAGGCATGGTGGCACATGTCTGCAATCCCAGCAACTTGGGAGGCTGAGATGAAGATTGCAAGTCGAGGCCAGCCTCAGCAAATTAGCAAGACCCTAGGCAACTTAGTGAGATCCTGTTTCAAAATAAAAAATAAAAAAGGACTGGGGATGTGGCCCAGTGGTAAAGAAGAGTGGAGTGGATTTTTCTTTGTTTCTTTCTTTTATTTGATTCTGTGGAGGGAACCTAGGATCTTTCTCATGTTAGGCAAGTGCTGCTGAGCTACACCCAGCCCTGTTTTTACATTTTCTTTTTTGTCTGAATTAATAGAAGATGTATAGATTTCATATCTACTTCATCATTCATTCTATTGTGGTGTGTGCATCATGAGCCTCTGCAAAACTGCACTGAAGGGCTGGGGATGTAGTTCATTGGTAGTGCTTGCCTAGCGTGCTGAAGGTTCTGGGTTCAATCTCCAGCGCTGCAAAATAAATAAAAGAAAATTTCACTGAATACTCATGAAAAAATGAGAATGATGTCTTTGTGTTATCTTTGTGCTGCTCTAGGGCTTATAATTAAGAAAGGGCATTGCTGAGTATTGTGTGCATCTTTGTTAGATGTTGTCATAGTGTATTTCCCAATGGAAGTATCTTCCTGGTCACATTCCTATTAGTGCTATCATTCCACAATTATGTCAGAACTTCTATGTTTAGTCTTAAATTTTCCAATGTGATGGGTATAAAATGGTATCTTGTAGTTTTTTTTTTTTTTAATATTTATTTATTTATTTTAGTTTTCGGTGGACACAACATCTTTGTTTGTATGTGGTGCTGAGGATCGAACCCGGGCCACATGCATGCCAGGCGAGCGTGCTACCGCTTGAGCCACATCCCCAGCCCCATATCTTGTAGTTTTTAATTTGCATTTTCTGCATTGGTACAGTTGATATCTTTTTATCTGTTTGTTGGACATATGGGCTTCCTCTTGCATGAAATATGAGTTCATATCATCTATTTGGGTTGTGTGTGTGTGTGTGTGTGTGTGTGTGTGTGTACACCAGAGATTGAGCCCCCACGGGCGCTTTACCACTGAGCCACATCCTTAGCACTTATTTATTTATTTATTTTTAATTTTTGGTACTGGGGATTGAACTCGGGAGCACTCGACCACTGAGCCACATCCTCAGCCCTATTTTGTATTTTATTTAGACAGTCTCACTGAGTTGCTTATTAGTACTTTGCTTTTTGCTGAGGCTGGCTTTGAACTCTTCAATCCTCCTGCCTCAGCCTCCTGAGCTGGGATTACAGCTGAGTGCCACTGTGCTTGGCTCTTTTTTTTTTTTTTAGAGAGAGAGAGAGAGATAATATTTATTTTTTTTAGTTCTCGGCGGACACAACTTTGTTTGTATGTGGTGCTGAGGATCGAACCCAGGCTGCATGCATTCCAGGCGAGCGCGCTACCACTTGAGCCACATCCCCAGCCCTGCGCTTGGCTCTTGGCCCCCCCCCCTTTTTTTTTAAAATAAATTTATTTTGTTTATTTATTTATTTATTTTTATGTGGTGCTGAGGATCGAACCCAGTGCCTCACACATGCAAGGCAAGCGCACTACCACTGAGCCACAACTCCAGCTCCTCCTTAGCCCCTTTTTTGTATTTTATTGGTACCACAAAGTGAACCCAGGGATGGTTAACCACTGAGCCGCATCCCCAGTTCTTTTTTAAAGACAGGATTTTACGAGTTGCAAGTGCTTTGCTAAATTGCTGAGGCTGAGTTTGTATTCGCAGTCCTCTTGACGTCGCTGGGATTATAGGTGTGCACTACTGTATCTGGCTTCATCTGCTTGTTTTTTAGTTGAATTGCTTGACTTTTGCTTATTCACTTTTGGGATTTGTAAAAACAAGTTTTTCATGTATTCTGAATTCTTTACTCCTAATTTCTTCCAGGCTGTGACTTTACTTTTCTTTTTCCTCTATTTATTTGTTTATTTTTTATATTTTGGTACTGGGGACTGAACTCAGGGGAACTTTACTACTGAGCTACATTCCTAGCCCTTTTTAATTTTTAATTTTGGGACAGGGTCACATTAAGTTGCTGAGGCTGGCCTTGATTTTAAAATCCTCCTGCCTCAAACCTCCTGAGTTGTTGGGCTTACAGATGCACTGACTTTGGCTCTAGACATTCAGAGATTTTTTTTTTTTATACCAGGAATTTAACCCAGGGGTGCTTTTTCACTGAGCCTCATCCCTAGTCCTTTTTTTTTTTTTTGAGACAGTTACTTGCTAAATTGCTTAGGCCCTTTCTAAGTTGTGAGACTGGCCTCAAACTTGTGAACCTCCTGCTTAGTCTCCCAAGTCACTGGGATTTACAAGAGTGTGCCACCATGCCTGGCTCTACATTTTTTTGATAGCCACAGTCCAATGATCACATTAAAGAAATTTAATGTTAATGCAGTTTCCTAATGTTCAGTCATTCTGATTGCCCCAGTTGTTCCAAATAATGCCCTGTGAAGCTAGGTTCAAGGTGCTTGTTGTGATTTTTGTTTTTAGACCTGTGTTGGTAGAATGAGGAAGGAGTGAGAAACAAAGGGTGGAATTATCAATAAAGAACCACTTACAGGGACACAGCCACATCAATGTTTATAACAGCACAGTTCACACTAGCTAAACTGTAGAGCCAACCTAGATGCCCTTCAGTGGATGAATGGATAAAATAAAATGTGGCATATATACACAATGGAATATTACTCAGCAATAAAAGAGAATAAAATCATGGCATTTGCAGGTAAATGGATGGTGTTCGAGAAGATAATGCCAAGTGAAGTTAGCCAATTCCCCCAAAACAAATGCCAGTGTTTTCTCTGGTATAAGGAGGCTGACTCATACTTGGGTAGGGAGGGGGCGCATGGGAGGAATAGATGAATTCTAGATAGGGAAGAGGGGAGGGAGGGAAAGGGAGGAGACAGGGGATTAGCAAGGGTGGTGGAATGTGATGGACATCATTACCAAAAGTACACACAAATTGGGTGTCAACCTACTTTATATACAAACAGAGATATGAAAAATTGTGGTATATATGTGTAATAAGAATTGTAATGCAAAAAAACTCCTACAAAGTACATGTATAAGACATGAATTGGCGTGAATGTACTTTATATAAAAGATATGAAAATTTGTGCTCTATATGTGTAATAAGAATTGTAATGCATTCCGCTATTGTATACTTAAAAAAAATAAAATCAATTAAAAAAAGAACCACTGAAAGGACTGGTGAGGAATAGCCAAGGAGAAATCCAGTCTACTTCTCACATTCTACACATTCTAGCTTGGGGTTTGGTCTTTTACAGCATTAATATTTTTGAGGAGTCCAGTCCATTTATTTTAGAGACAGCCCCTCAGTTTGGAGTTGTCTAAGTGTTTCCACAGAATTTGTTTTAAAAGTTAAACATTTTTTGGCAAGAACACTACATAAAACGAGTGCCCTTTTCAATATGTTAGAAGGCACACAATGTCCTTCTGTTTAGTGAAGATAAATTTGATCACTTGATTAAGGTATTGTTTGCTAGATTTCTTCATTGTAAAGGTTTCTTATTCCCTTTGTGATTAAGAAATAAAATGGGGTGATACTTTGAGACTGAATATACTATTCTCCAAAACCTTTTTAATCTTTAAGTAGTTTTTGTATCCCTTGACCAAACCTGTCTTGTATTAGTGATTATGTTGGTACTTACAAAAATGACTTTCTAATTCTGTTTTTTCCTGTTCTTTTTTTTCTTTTTGCAGTACACTTTTCTATATTTTCTTGCAAAATTTATTTAAAATGTATTTGTTTATGTAGTGGTCTGTTTGGACTTTATTATTTTTTTGTATTGAGTGAAGTAGGGATCTGATTTATTATTTTCCCATGTAAAAAACCAGTTATCTCAGAACTTTTTGAATAGTGTGTTATTTTATTACTCGTGATCTCTTCTCTAAAATATTAAGTTTCATACATATTTGCATCTGTTTTGGGTTTTCCTCTGGTCAGTTGGCTTGTTTTGTTTATTTCTATGCTTATAAAGCAATAATTTCATTGCCATAGCTTAATACTAAGGTTTGATATTGTATAGGATACAAGTTTTCCTACCTTATCTATCATAATTTTCTTGGCTATTCTGGCCCCTGTGCTCTTCCATAACAATTTTATTTATTTTTGGTACTGAGGATTGAAACTAGGTGTGCTTAACTACTGAGACACATCACCAGTCCTTTTAATTTTTTAATTTTTAATTTTTAATTTTGGGACAGGGTCTTTCTAAGTTGCTTAAGGCCTTGCCAAATTGCTGAGGCTAGCCTTGAATTTGCAGTCCTCCTGTCTCAGCCTCCCAAGCCACTGGGATTACAGGTGTGTGCCACTACACCTGGCTTCTGAGATTTTTGTCATAAGAGTGTAGGGCAAAATGCCATGTATCTGTCATTCCTATCTTATTCCCGAATTTAAGGGGATTATCTATCTACCTACATCTATCTATCTATCTATCTAAGTATGTATATATGCATGCGTATATATGTATATATGTGTATATGTGCATATATATATATATACACACACACACACACGTATAATTTTTTTTTCCCCCTGGGGATTGAACTCGGGAACTTGTTCAACATCCCTAGCCCTCTTTATTTTTTATTTTGAGACAGGGTCTCACTAAGTTGCTGAGGCTGACTTCAAACCTGTGATCCTCCTACTTTCAGCCTCTGGAGTTATTGGGATTATAGACGTGTGTCACTGTGCCTGGCTCCTTTGCCCATTTTACCTCCATTCCAGCTTTAGCTGGTGTGACTGGTCACAAGGCAGTTTTTTTTTTTTTTTTTTGTGAATATGGATAGTTTTGATTAGTGTTGTGTTATACAGTGACACAAAGTTAGGTTCTCAATTTGTAGTATGTTGTTACTTGTGAACAGAGGAAATAGATGCAGTATTTGAATGTTTGGTATTTTGTTCTTATTTCTCAGTTAAATCCAGATGTGAATGTTTTCCAGCGAAAATTTGTGAATGAAGTTAGAAGATGTGAAGAAATGGATCGAAAACTTCGTATGTGCCTATTGGTCTTGTATGATGTTCTTCTAATGAATCGTTTATCTTAAATTAGAGATATTAGTCCTCTGAATAAAAGAATGAAAATACTATAGGAGAAAAATAAGAGAAAAAAAATTTGTGATCATGTTTTAAGATGAATTTCTTTTATACATACAGATTATGTGGAGTTTGGGCTAGGTAGTGCTTACTGGAAACCTGTTCTAATGACAGGCTGCAAGCCAAAAACACTGTGATTATTGTGGGATTTTTTTTTTTAACATTTCTTTAGTTGTAAATTGAACTTTTTATTTTATTTTCATTTATTTATTTATTTATTTTTATGTGGTGCTAGGATCGAACTCTGCCGCAGTCCCGCTGCAGCAAAATAACTGGGGGGTGACGAACAACTTGTGTAGATTCATACAGCAGGAGTGGAAGCCGTTTATTGCAGGACAGGAGCAGTATTTATACATTCCACACAGCTTATCTAATTAACATAAACTAGATACATCAGTCAACCAATCAGGAATCTCCACACTTAATGGCTCGCTTTTGTTACTTCTCAAACCACTCCCTCTGGCATTTTGCCAGGCACCATCCAGACTTGTTTACGAACTCTAACATTCCCCTGGCAAAATGCCAGGTGTTATTTTGACTTGTTTACAGACTCTAACAGAACTCAGTGCCTCATACTTGCAAGACAAATGCTCTACCACTGAGCTACAACTCCAGCCCTTTTATTTTATTTATTTATTTATATGTGGGGCTGAGGATTGAACCCAGGGCCTCACACATGCCAGGCAAGTGCTCTACCACTGAGCCACAACTCCAGCCCCTATTGTTATTTAATAACATAACTACATTACAGAATTCTGAGCGGTAAGACTCAGCATTATCAATTTTAGGTATCAGAAGAGCTACCTTTTAAGGTGAACTATTTATGAGAAAGGAAACTAACATGAAGTTCCTGTTGAGGGCTAGGGTACTAATGAATGAATGAATGAATACTTTGTTTCATTCATTTCGCACTACATTCCTTCAATATAGGTGTTACCTCATTTAATAATTGAGGAGACTAAAGATCAGAGTGGTTTAGTGACTTGCCCAAGAAAATAAGTAGTTGTGATGGAATCAGTATTTTAAACCAGGTTGTTACCCAGGTTCTTGCCATTTTACCAAGTCAGATTACAGTTAGCTGATAGGGGGAATTTGGTCCCCACTTTAAAAAAAAAAAAAAAAAGTTAGTAATTATTCCCTGAAATATTCTTTTCTCTTATGGTGTTTTTTTGTTTTGTTTTTAAATATTTATTTTTTAGTTGTAGTTGGACACATACCTTTATATTATTTATTTTTACGTGGTGCCAAGGATCGAATCCAGGGCCTCACACATGCTAGGCAAGTGCTCTACCACTGAGCCACAACCCCAGCCCTCTTTTGGTGTTTTAAGTCTTTTACGTTTTATTTTTATTTTTATGCTTAAAACTGGCCTGATTATTTTAAACAAATCATACACACACACACATTTATTTATTTATTTTAGTTGTAGATGGACACAATACCTTCATTTTTATTATTTATTTTTATGTGGTGCTGAGGATTGAACCCAGTGCCTCACATTTGCCAGGCAAGTGCTCCACCTTTGAACTACAGCCCCAGCCCTTTAAAAAACCCTTTTGATCTAGAGTTATTTCACTGTAGTGTGTTATCAAATACTTAGTTGTACTCTTCTTCTGGGGCTCTCCTTGGCCTATTATAGTATCTGAAACAGAACCACCATACTTGGAGATACAGTTGTATAGTGTGGAGAGTCAAAGTTGGTTAATTCCAGTTTTTAAGACTCAAAGGGGGAAAGAAAGCAGTTGTGAACTAACCATCCTTTTTGGGGTGGTGTTGGAGAATGTGAAGTACAAGAGAGGGGTATGGAGAAAAAAGGTGCTTCTTTATATGAAGGTTCCTTCTTCTTAGAATGAAATTCTTTGTAATCAAGTTTTGGCCCTCCCACCCCAAGTAATGGCAATTCCAGGCATGCAGCTGGACATGAATTTTTTTTTTCTTTTTTTTTTTTACTCTATCATTTTAGGATTTGTTGAGAAAGAGATAAGAAAAGCTAACATCCCAATTATGGACACTGGCGAAAATCCAGAAGTGCCCTTTCCCCGGGACATGATTGACTTAGAGGTAAACAATTCTAAGAAAGCCAGATAAGTTTCTTTCTACTTAAATGCCAAAATTAATTTCCTGAGTTGGTAATTCTTGCTAACCTTGTGAGCATTGTCTATGGATTTTAAGTTTCCTGAAGATGGGATTGAAGTGAATTCTCTTTTTTATGGTATCAAATAGTATTTCAGGCAGCATCATATGCTACTAATGAAATGTTCATTGGTTTCTTGAACACTTATTGGATTAATGGCAACTTGTCTTGTCGCTTATTAACCTCATAGACTAAATGAATTGCCACTGGGTTTTTTTTGTAATATATTATCCATCTCAATTAACCAAGAAATTTACTGAGTGTACCATAGACTATATAGATAAAGAAAGACTTGTAAGCAAAAATTTGCAAAAAGAAAATGTAAGTCAGCATTTGCTTGATAAGTATAATACATCTTTTTAAAAAAATATTTATTTTTTAGTTGTAATTGGACACAATACCTTTATCTTATTTATTTTTATGTAGTGCTGAGGATCAAACCCAGGGCCTTGCACAATGCTAGGCAAGCGCTCTACCACTGAGCCACAATCCCAGTCCAGTATAATGTATCTTTGACCTATTGGTGTGGCAATAGTTCTTTGAGATAAATTCATTTAATGTCTTTTAGAGTAGTATATTAAACTTAGTTTGGGTTAATAGTTTTCTTTTTTCCCTCTAGGCCAATTTTGAGAAGATTGAAAATGAGCTAAAGGAAATCAACACAAACCAGGAAGCTCTGAAGAGAAACTTCCTGGAACTGACTGAATTAAAATTTATACTTCGCAAAACTCAGCAGTTTTTTGATGAGGTCAGACTATTGTTTCTTTTAGTATTTGAGAAGCTGATATTATGTACCTGCACAAGTGGGCCATATTTTTATTCCAATAATTATTTTAATTTGCTAGTTTGGAAGCAATATCATTTTTGCATCCTGTTTTAGTTGAAGAAATGTCAGATTATGTTCCATTTTTCATGCAGTACACAGCCAACCATGATTTTGTATATTTTCATATTTTTGCAATTTTTCATCTTCAAGATGGGGAAAGGAACTCTAAAATCATGTATACACATAATTGAAATTTGGTATTATATTTATATATCATAAGGTAAGTATATGCTTAAGATTTAACTTGAAGAAATAAATATTTGGTTACAGACAAAATGATAACAAAAGTTTAATCTCTAAATCTTTTGGCACAGGTTTTTAGTGCTTTAGGTAACATGTCACACTGACTTTTCAAATTTTTCATGTGATATATGAAAATATTGGTAGGATGCTTGTTTGGCTTTTCATATAAATGCAATTTCATTATGAGGAAAAAAAAATAAGTTCCTGGGTTAAATATGTAGATGACAGGTCTGGGGTTGTAGCTCAGCAATAGAGAGAGCACCTGCTTAGCATGTTTGAGGCACTGGGTTCGATCCTCCACACCACATAAAAATAAGTAAATAAAGGTATTGTGTCCAGCTACAACTAAAAAAAAAATTAAAAAAAAATATGTAAATGACTAAATTGTCAGATGACAGCTTGACAAGGGGACTCCCATGAAAGGACTTGAAGTCAGGCTTGTAGAAAGTTTCCTTCTTCAATTAAACCTAGGGAGGAGTCTTAGTTGCTCTCAACCTGAATATGTTTTTTTTTGATAGACTAAAATATTGGTAACTCTCTTTTTGACAAGTGTCTTTGCCATAAGATTATTAGATGTTGATGGACCTTTATTTTATTCATTTATTTATATGCAGTGCTGAGAATTGAACCCAGGGCCTCACACATGCTAGGCAAGTGCTCTTACCACTGAGCCACAACTCCAGCCCCTCAGCTTTACTTTAAATTTTTTTTTTTACAGGGGATTGAACACAGGAGTTTTGTAATACTAAGTTACATCCTCAACCATTTTTATTTTTAATATTCAGACAGGGTCTCTTAAATTGCCAAGGCTGGCCTCAAACTTGGATCCTCATGCCCCAGACTCTTGAGTAGCTGGGATTATAGGTGTGCACCAAAGTGCTCAGCTTTATTTTTAATTTCTGTCTTTTGAGAAGGGACAATTCTCTGTAGTTCTCTAGATTGAAGCAAGGGTTCTCCAACCAGCAGTAATAGCCTTACCTGGGATTTTGCCAGAAATACACTGTAATCCCAGCAACGCAGGTGGCTGAGGCAGGACAATTGCAGATTCAAGACCAACCTCAGCAATTTAGCAAGGCTCTGTCTCAAAAAATAAAATGGGCTGGGAAGATGTAGCTCATGGTAAAGTGCTTCTGGTTAAATCCCAGTACAAAAGAAAGAAAGAAAACAAAAACATAAATGATCAGTCAAACCCAGACCTGTAGAGTTAAAAACCTTGGGGTGGGGCCTAGCCATCCCTTTTAATAAGGTGATTCTGAAGCATACTAGTTTGAAAACCATTAGTCTAGAGCAAATATGCCAAGGATGTGATACATTCCTCAGTAACCAAGGATTTGACTCAGAGAAGCTATTCTAATTGAAAAGATCTGTGGAGGCAAAGAATGGTGGAAAAGCTCATGTGAATTTAATTGCCTGGTCCTTCAAGAATCAGAATCTGGCTATATATCAATAGAGGTTTTGTGAGAATTTTCAGACTGCTCACCATGTTGAGAATTTTGAGACTCGTGTAATGTCTTCCCCTAGTGTCCCCAATATCATTGCATTAGAGGGTGTGGGACTGTGTGATTTACTCTTTTCAAGTGTTTAAGATCTTTTGCAACAGGCATGTGTATTAATGAACAAATTATGTGGAATTCCAGTATGCTCACCACCTAAACATTATTATATTCTTATTCATTAAATCTCTGAGCCTATAATGAGCACTTAATTAATCTTTGTGAAGTATAATTAGTCATTTTATGAAACATCCCTGAGCTAGTGCTCACTATGCTCACAGATGGGTGCTTTTCTAAACATGTCCAAGTGGCTGTCCACAAATCCAGTGTATATCTGGCCTCGTGGTCAAACCTCAACTACTTTTAGCATCATTTTGAGCTTATTTCTTTTACCTTCAGGTTATTTACCCCTTCTTGTAGGACCTTTACTTCACTTTTGGGATATTGTTGTGATATATGAAAATATCTTTCATGATCTCCAGAGTTTAAGGATTGAAGGAAGCTTCTTATTCTGGTTTTTTTTTTTTTTCTTTTTTTTTTAGTTTTTTAATTTTTTGTGGTGCTGAGGATTGAACCCAGGGGCTTGTGCATGTGAGGCAAGCACTCTACCAACTGAGCTATATCCCCAGCTCATTCTGGTTCATTTTGAGAGAAATTCTGAATAAAAACTCACAACTGGACAAATGAGCTCCCTTAAGGGAAGTAGTTATTTAAACTATTAATTTTTTTTCACTACTGGGAATTGAACCCAGGGCCTCACACATTCTAGACAAGCACTGTAGCACTGAGTTACATCCCCAGCCTTTTTTCTTTTTTTTAATTTAACTTAATTATTTATTTTTTGGGGCCAGGAATTGAACCCAAGGGTGCTTAACCACTGTGTCACATCCTCAGCCCTTTTTATTTTTTAATTTTGAGACAGGGTCTCACGAAGTTGCTGAGGCTGGCTTGAACTTGTGATCCTCCTGCCCTAGCCTTTGGAATAGCTGAGATTACAAATGTGTGTCATACCTGGCTAAATGACTCATTTTTTAAATAAATAAAAATAAACCAAGAGAACCACTAGGAAAGATGACACACAATTTAAAAATTCTAAGTTAGGGGTTTAGGAATTTATTTTGTGCTTACTAAATCTGAACGTTAAATGCCCATCCTGAGAAAGCAGATTTATTGACCCTCATGACCTTCTTGACCTTTCCTTTCCATGGTGAGTTTGTTTCTCTTTCCTGTATATACAAAATTCTTTCCCTCCCATCTCTGAAAATACTTTGAGCCCAAGGCCTTGGCCATGAGAGCTTCTCCCCTACCTTTGCCATCGGTTCCCCTTTCATTCCGAGCACCCTCGAAGCAATGCAGGAAGGCTTTTGGCAAAAATCTGCCTTTTCTCTCCCAGTGCACCGTCAGCACCTTGCCCATTCTTGCTACTATTTTGCAGCCTCAGTCAGATCCCTTTCCATAGACTTTGCCCTGCTGCTGCCAGGCCTCACATGGTGTTACATCTGTGCATGCAAGTGCACATTAAATAATGCAAAAGGTGAGCAAACTTGGGATCCTCAAATATTGAAAACTGAGATTTCATGAGATTTTCTTCCGTGCCTGAAATTGCAGTGTTTGCAAATGGCCTAAAACACTACTAATTATATACTCCTCTTCTTTTTTATAATTTGGTGAATGTGGAATTAATAATTTACCATATTGAGTTAGCAGAAAATGGCTAAATCAGAGTGATTCTTTTCATATTTAGACATATGGGTTATAATTGGCAAGGTGTTTAGAAAGGAAAAGTAAATATATATTGAATAGTCTTATTATTTAAGTTGATTACAAATTCAACTTAGCCATTTCTTATCCAGAGCATTTAAAATGACTTGTTAATGATTATCCTTTTCTCAGTCTTCTTGCTTATGAAGAGCTGTAAGAGCTGGAGAGATTTCTCTGCATCTTTTACCATAAGCACCATAACATATGAGAACGTAAAGAAGACTGGAAAAGTAATGGTTAATGGCATGCAGATCCCCGTCTTCCTTTCCTTCTGAGTTTTCCATCCATCTGCTTTCTTTATTTTCCTTAACCATCTGCCATCTCCTTTGGGGCTTGGGTGAATACCTTAAGTGATGAAATGTAATTTCTTTCTTAATGTAGATGGAAGGTAAAAGTGTTTGCTCTTAGTAATTGATGTAGCTTGCCTGGATGTGCTGCTTATGCATAAATGCTATAGAAACAGAACTAAAGTTTGTTCTGCTACTTGTTTTAAGACATGGTTTTCAGCATTCTAAATGGGGAAAGAGTTACTCAGTAGAACATAGCAAATAATTTAGAGAAACATTGGTAATATTATTATTGTCATTAGGTTCTCTATGATTTAAGTTTTGGATGCCTAACAACATGCTTTCAGATATTATTTAAAATGCCCTTAGTTAGTGGTCTCATTATCCTAGTTTCCCATCAGGCATAATTTTATTTATGAATTTTAAACTTTCTGAGACTCGGAATTCTTAAATATGAAGTAGTGAAATTAGTGTTTAGAATATTGAAGTTTCTGCTTAATTTTAATTCTGTTGTTTTTATTCTTGGAGCCTCAGATATAGTCTTTGGAGTAGTCTGGCTGCTAAATGCTATTTGCTGTTCCGTCATTTGTCTTTAGGGTTACATGTGTTTTACTGTGTCTGATGTTTAGGGTTTACTTAAACCAGGTCCTGTGAACCACACAGGCACATAGGAGGGAGTCTTGTGAGTTGCAGTCTGTTTCACTGTTTTTTGCCAAAGGATAGACCAAGAACAAGTTGAAATGTTGTCATCTGATCCTTTAAAAAAGCTGTAGTCAGCCTATTTGGAATAGAAACAAAAGAATCCCCTCTACTTCCTTGTGATGGAACCAGTTGTTCCTACTATCTCATCTTAGTTTCTAATCTCTGGTGTCCACCTTTTTTTTTTTTTCCTTCTTCTTCTTCTTTTTTTTTTTTTCTTTTTTATGGATTAGCCTTGATCCTTACTTCCCAAAACAGTTGCTTTCACTTTTTCAGACTTTTAGTCTTATCTGGTTTATATTTAGTATTCCTCCCTCCTTGTTGTATTTGTGGTCATATGACTTTATCAAGTGATAAAGTGGCATATGACATTTTTTGATAATGTTGAAGGATTAGAGTCAAATTGAAATTTGGAATTAAAATGATAGAGAAAAATTTTCCTTTTTGTTTTGTTTTGCTTTTGAAAGATTGTTCTGGCTACTTTAGTCCTTTGGTCAAGCAATATGGAAGTTAAAGTTGGGGAGATTAAGCAGTGGAGAAGTTGATTGGACTTTATTTTTGAGGGCAGCTTCTTTCTGATGGGAGTAAAGGGGCTGTCAGGATGAGGTGAATAGAGAGGTAAGGAGATAGAGACCTCCGTGTGGGAAGATCCTTCTCCTCTTTCATTGCATTGTATAAACTGTCATGGTGGAACTCATTTTAAATCTAACTAATTAAACCAGCCCAGGAGCTCTAGATTAGGTTATTACCTGTTACTTTTTCTGCACTTTACTTTTTTATTTTTTTAATGGTACTGGTGATTGAACCCAGGGTTGCTCTACCACTGAGCTGCATCCCCACCCCTTTTTATTTTTGAAACATGGTCTTTCTGAGTTGCCAAAGCTAGGCTGGAACTTGTGATCCTTCTGCCTCAGCCTCCTGAGTAGTTGGGTTTACAGGTGTGTGCCATCATTTCACTTGATTCTTGAGTTATGTTCTCCAAGAATCATTCCACTGTAAAGCCTATATGAACCTTAAAAATATTGCTGGATTCCTAGTCAGAAAACAGGACCTTGAAATATGCAATGAAGGCACAGGCCTGCCCGGGTTTAAGTCCCATACTTTGGGGCATTCCACATGTGGCTGTGCTGAAAGTTTTCATATTCTGAATTTCTAAGAGTCTGGAAAGCTTAGACGTCTTGGAGATGCTCCTTCTTTCTTTCTCCAGATCGCACCATATTCAAGACAGTGACAGTACCTTGTTTCTCACTTGGAAAGAGACTCTTCACCTTCCACTTTGTCACATGGAGCAAATTCTAATTTGTAGCTGCCTAGAAATTAAATATTTAGTAATGTGTGCCACACTTTTGTTCAAAAAGGAGAGAGATCTCAGCTTTTTGTCTACATGTAAAGCTATTTCCTGGCACTTTCATGGTTCATTCAGGGAAACATCAGAGAGAAAATGGTTTCCACCAAGTAACAGATTTATACGTGTCACCATCACTTAATGTTTTTCTTTTATTCCTTATTTCTGAAACCATTTGCCCGGATGCTTTCCTGGGGCAATTATGCTTTCTTTACCTCATGTTTATTTTCTTCCCTTGTTCTCTCTCTCTTTTTTTTTTTTTTTTGGGTGTGTCTTATCTTTGGTGTCCCTTCTCCCATCTTTATTTTCTAAAAGTCTCCTGGTTCCTCTTCCCTGCATGCCACTAACTATTTTCATTAGATATTAATTGATTTGTGAATTCAGGCTGAATTGCATCATCAGCAGATGGCGGATCCAGACCTGTTGGAAGAGTCTTCATCCCTGTTGGAGCCAAGTGAGATGGGAAGAGGCACGCCTTTAAGACTTGGGTAAGTACCACTTCAGCCTTACTCTCTCAGTGGGATCATGTTCATCTTTGCTGTTCAAAAGAGCAGTGAGGCTGGGGATTCATTTGCTACAAGGGTGTGTTCTCTCCTGATCCTGTTCAGAGGTGTTCTGAGTGTTTTTGGATTCAGTTCCTGAGTTGTCTGTCAAACCTCTTCTGGTGCTGGAAGTAGCCAGGAATAAGACTCTGGCAGCCCATTTGACATGACAAAAGATAGTCTCCTGTGTTAAACCTTTGCCTTTCTCCCACTTTCCTTCTTTGTCTTAAAACCTTCCATCCCTTGACATGAAACAGAATTCCTAATCTGTTTTTTTTTTTTTTTCTGCCCACAGATTTGTGGCTGGTGTGATTAACCGAGAGCGTATCCCTACTTTTGAACGCATGCTTTGGCGAGTATGCCGAGGGAATGTGTTCCTGAGACAGGCTGAAATCGAGAACCCCCTGGAGGATCCTGTGACTGTAAGACAAGGAAATTGCATCCTGTGGAATAGGTCTTGTAAAGGGCACCCAGAACCGTAGTATAACATTGTGTCTGTCATCTGAATCCCACCTTTCCACAGAGCATCCCTTATGTTTACCCCTGCTTTGATCTGAGAACTTGAAGGACTGCTCCTTTCCTCTGATGTAACTCTCACCATGTGTGTATCTGATATACACATGACATACACATTATTTTCAACCTTTACCCACATAGGTATTATTTTGATTGGAAATATGCTTTTTTCCAATCACTTTAAACTTTAGTTTTACATATTTCCTGTTACTGGTCTGGGACTGAAAGAAAATTTGCCTTATATTAAAATTAAAGCAAGTCATCTGGTTACAAATTTGGTCATATTTATGCATAAATATGATCTTTGTAAATCTTATGAAATTTTATTTGGTACGATTTTATTATTGTTTGTTAGGAAAATCAGAAACTTAGTTCAAAAATATTTATTATAGCTGGGCGCGCATGTCTGTAATCCCAGCGACTCGGGTAGGCTGAGGCAGGAGGATTGCAAGTTCAAAGCTAGCCTCTGCAATGTCGAGGCAATAAACAATTCAATGAGACCCTGCCTCTAAATAAAATTCAAAAAAGGACTGGGGATGTGGCCCAGTGGTTGAGTGCCCCTGAGTTCAATCCCCAGTACTGAAAAAAAATATATACATATACATATATATGTATATGTGTGTGTGTGTGTGTGTGTGTGTGTGTATATATATATATATATACATACACACACATACATATACACACACATACATATACACACACATACATACTTACATTATATATATATATAATGGCCTGGCATGGTGGCACACACTTGTAATCCCAGCAGCTAGGGAGGCTGAGGCAGGAGGATTGCAAGTTCAAAGCCAATCTCAGCAACTTAGTGAGGTTCTAAGCAATTTAGGGAGACCTGTCTCTAAAAAAATTACACACACACACATATACATATGTGTAAATATCTATATAGTATAAGGTAGGATGATCTTCCCCATCTAGTGCTTTGGAAAGTAGGAACAGCCTAACATCTTGGCATTTTGACATACGGGACAGAGTTCATAACCTAAATCTATATGAGCACATGGGTCCTGATTTCAGGGATTACAAGCAAAGGCTAAATTTATTGCAAAAATTTTATTTCATTTTATTCAGAAGTCTAGAGTTGGTTTTTCTGTTCTAGATTATCTTAGGAATTTCTTAAATTAGTATTCTTTATTCTAAGAAGAGAGACTGAATTGTGAATCTTCTCAGATTGGGTTGATGGTACAGCTATATTGTGACTTTTATCCTCCATACTAAGTAGGAATGTGGTGATATTTAAAGTGAATCACTTTACCTTGGGGTAAGGTTTGAGTCTTACTAAAGACTCTTGTGGAAACATTATAGTCTGCAGTCATAACTGATATGGAATTGTTCTCTGCAGTATTCAGTCAAGTTTCCTCTTGGCAATAGAAAGATTATATTATCAACAAATTCAGGAAAGGGGAGGGCTAATATGTATAATAGAGCAGCTGCACAAAGAATTGACCCCAGTGTAGCCTGGAGAATAAGACTTTTTTTCTTCTACAGTGCTAGGAATTGAACCCAAGGCCTCACGCATGCTAGGGAAGTGTACCCCTGAGCTATATCCCCAACCCTGAATTTAAGGCTCTTGAGCCTTTCTTTGGTTTTTCTTTTATCCTTCTAAAGTTTTGTTATTGTAAAAGCAGTACATACTCTGAGTATGAGAAACTAGAGCCAACTAGACAGTCCTGTATACTTTATTTTTTCTAATCTTTCCTTCTAGTCCTTGCATCATATTCTAGGTGTAAACTTGGTATTTGGAATTGATTGCTTATCTCCCTTTCCCACTAGGTATAAATTAACATGAATCAATCATGAGATTCTTCATCAACATTTTCCCCGGTGACTCAGTTCCTTATAGTTATTCAGCTCCCTTTCCAAGCCCCAGAACAGATAAGCCCCCAAACACCTCTGGCTTCCTTCTCTTTCCTTGCCTCTATACTTTTGTCATTCAGGCCATATAAGATTTAAAGTTGCATTGGAAAATAAACTAAGTTGTACTAAGAGAAATATCACCTTAGCTTTTCTATCAAGTTTCTGGTTATGTTTAAAAACAAATAAAGAAGATTTTTGTGAATTAAGAGATTATAAGACAGCTGTTCTCTTAATGAAGCTTAAGAAAGGAGTGAGGGTATTGGTTAAAATACAGGCTGATCACATCCTTAAAGGATTCCTATTGTTCCTTTATTTATTTATTTATTTTTTAAAGAGAGAGACAGAGAATTTTAATATTTATTCTTTTAGTTATCGGCGGACACAACATCTTTGTTTGTATGTGGTGCTGAGGATCGAACCCGGATCGCATGCATGCTAGGCGAGCGTGCTACCGCTTGAGCCACATCCCTAGTCCCCTATTGTTCCTTTGTCATATAGAAAGTTACTGTTTAAAATATTTTCATCTAGATTTAGAGGTCTGAACTCTTGGCTTTTGCTTCTGGAGCTTAGGGTGACTACGTGCACAAGTCTGTGTTTATCATTTTCTTCCAAGGCGATCAGCTGAAAAACAGAGTCAAGAAAATCTGTGAAGGGTAAGAAATACTTGCCTCCACCCAAGATGGCACAGCTGTGTTACTTAACTGTTGAGTCTTAATATTCAAAGTAGTGAAGTGCGGATTGTATTTTAAACCATTAGGAGTACTCCAAACTGGGAGAGGTGGTTCATGCCTGTAATCCTACCTGCTCAGGAAGCTGAGGTGGGAGGATCACAAATTTGAGGCCAGCCTTAGTAGTTTAGTAATACTTGTCTCAAAATAAAAAGAGCTGATCAATTGTGGGCTGGGGATATAGCTCAGTTGGTAGAGAGTTTGCCTTGCATGCACAAGGCCTGGGTTCAATCCCCAGCACCACACACACAAAAAAAGAGCTGATAGTTGTATAGCTATGTGCAAGACCCTGGGTTTAATCCCTAGAATTGCCAAAAAAAAAAAAAAAAGCTTAAATTTATTGAAGTACCACCAAAACCACAATTTCAGCTGGGTACAGTGGTACATGCCTGTGAGCCCAGCAGTTTGGGAGGCTGAGGCCACAGGATTGCAAGCTGGGGACTAGCCGTAGCAACTTAGCAAAGATCCTGTCTCAAAATAAATAGGGCTGGGGATACAGCTTAGTGATAAAATATCTCTGGGTACAATCCCCAGTACTTAACAAAACCGCACAATTTCCTTGGGTGTATGGCTCAGTGGTAGAATGTAGAGTGCAAGCACAAGGCCTTGGGTTTAATCCCCAGCACCACAAAACAAAAACCAGTTTTCTTTTTTGAGGGGACAGTGGATCTACAAACCTCTATAGTACTACAGACACTTGTGCCCTTAGGTTTTCTAAAATTTTGCCTTATAAGCAGAATTTTTTTCCATTCCATTTTTCTCCAATGATTTACAATATAGTATTTAATTTTTTTTTTTTTAAGTCTCAGGGAAATTTCATAGCTGCAGAGAATGTCAAAATAATTCATATGTTGCTGGGTATGGTGGTACACACCTGTAATCCCAGCTACATGAGGCTAAGGCAGGAGGATCACGTTTGAGGCCAGACTGGGAAATTTAGCAAGACCCAGTCTCAAAGAAAGGGGGAAAAAAAGGGCCAGGGATGTGCCAAAATGATAGGGTACCCTTGGGTTGAATCCCCTGTACCTGCCCCATCCTCACCACACACAAAGAGTTCAAATGATATTGTTCTACCTACTGGCCACTTAATAGAAATTATTAGTGTTGGTTAACTCATCAGTCTGCTTTAATCCTGTGTTGAGCCTACTAGTAATTTAGGATTACTTTCTGAGATTATTTAAACTGAATATGTTTAGAAATTTGGTGTTTCTAAGGCTGTGTCTGTACATTCCAGATTCCGAGCCTCACTCTATCCCTGTCCTGAGACGCCACAGGAAAGGAAAGAAATGGCTTCTGGAGTCAATACCAGGATTGACGATCTCCAAATGGTACACAGAGGGTCAGAGGGAATTTGTTCATATGAATTAACTTCAGTAGAGGACCATTCTCTTTCTTCAAAACTGACAGTTTATTAGATACCTATAGCAGTTCTGGATACCAAAAAAAGAAATGTCTTTGGGTACTAATCCCTTTGGGGGCTGGGAAAAGTCTCTGGGAATGACTGTTAAAAATAGCATTAGTCATCTGCAAACAAGACAGGAATGCTGTACATCTGGAATCCTTATTACTTATTCAATTCCTTTCTCCCTCATGAGTCTGAGATTTTTTTTTTTTTTTTTTGTAATAAAAAGTATGCTTACTTAAGAAAAAAAAAAACAAAAACATGCAGTGCTCCAGAAGTACACATAAAGCCAGTTTTGCCCTCACTCTCTACTCCCTTGGCAGCTACTCTGAACAGCATGGCTATCCTCTGGTCAACTTTAATCTAATTACACAGTCCATCCATCTAAAGACCCCTAGTGTGCCTCTTGAACCAAGAAGTGATTGAGTTAGATTTTTACCAAATCACAGTGTGGGTGGTTTATGGACATCACGGTCACTACAGTGCTCCAAGGGAGCAGTTTATGTATAGTAGTTTATAGAAGGAAAGAGCAAGCACTGGGGCTTCCCTCTTGAAAGAAGAAATGTGATGATTGCTTCCTTTGACTCGTGTCTAATCCCAAAGGCAGTTCCTTTTAGCAATGACAAAATTATCAAAGATATATAATAATTCCCTTTCGGATCTTCCCCTTCAACCCCATTTTATATGACCCACCATCTTGACAGTAACTTAGCATTAATGAGCTCTTTTGAGATAAACTTGTCTGTTCAACTAGAGGAACAGTGTTTTTAGAACTGCTGGTTGATGATAGTGTTAACACATTCTGGGGCTTTTTTTTTTTTTTATCTCTTTCAAGGTTTATAGGTAAATTAAGAGCATGTACAGTAGTTATTATAAATTACTAGAATTTTTTTTTTTTGTACCAGGGATTGAACTCAGGGGCACTTGGCCACTGAGCCACATCCCAGCCCCATTTTGTATTTTATTTAGAGACAAAATCTCACTGAGTTGCTTAGCACCTTGCTTTTGCTGAGGCTGGCTTTGCTTTGAACTTGCCAATCCTCCTGTCTCAGCCTCCCCAGCTGCTGGGATTACAGGTATGAGCCACTGTTCCCTTCCCTAAATTATTAGAATTTGACTTTTTTTTTTCCCCCATACTAGGGGTTAAACCCAGGGCTTTGAAAAATGCCAGACAAATTTTCTACAACTTAGCTACATTTCTAGCCCTAAAATTTGATTTTTAAAAAATTTAGTTGTAGCCAGGTATGGTGGCACATTCCTGAAATCCCAATAACTTGGAAGGCTGAGGCAAAAGGATTATAAATTCAAAGCCAGCCTCAGCAACTTAGTGAGACCCTGTCTCTAAATAAAAAATAAAAAGGGATGGGGATGTGGCTCAGTGGTGAAGAGCTCCTATGTTTAATGCTGTATACCCCTGCCCCCTCAAAAAAACATCCAGCTGTAGGAACTGAAACCTTGGAAAGAAATTGAACACCAAGGAGTAGGATGAGGAAAAAAAAGTCAATAGAACATTGGTTGTAAGTTTATTTAGTATCCTTTCAGAAGTTTGAGTAGTATTTGTGAAATAGTCAACAACAAGGAAAGATAGTGACTATCCTAAAGTGACATAAGTTTCCTGAGCATATGTGGTTGTTCTTTTTTTTGAAACCTCTCTGTGGAAGTCACCTTCCTCTGTGCAAGATAGTTTTTCAAGGAATAGTTGCTGCTTTGTTCTGAATTAATTTGAAGAACCTTAACATGGTTTGTATGGAGCTATTCCCTCTTCAAAGAAATGTGGAGACTTAACATGGATTCTCATACAGAAGTGTGGAGAGTGGATTGTTTACTCAGTTCCTTCTAGTAGGAGCAGTGGGCTTAGACTCTCTCCTGCTACTGAAATCTTAAATATTTGAAGGCAATGGAATTTAAAATGTCCCTGCATTTTCCTCTGAGAGAAATCTACTAGTTTCTAAAGGATCAACACAGAAACTATTTTCCTCCCAGAATCCTATCTAAAAGATAAATAAAGCCTCTTAGCCCCTTGATGGCAGTGGCCCCTCAATGGCAGTGGTATATGGCAGCCCAAACCCATCTGGGGACTGTGGGTGCTCCTGATGTTACAGTGCCTCCTGGCTAACATTTCCAACATAGGCACGTGGTCCGCACTGCCTCTTTCCCATGTTCCCTGATGCTGTTGCATGTGCAGGGCAGTCTGCAGCTTGCTGTTGTTAAATGTCTGGTTTTTAATTTGTAAACTCCTGTACCTGTGCTGCCCACTTTGAGTTCAGGCTTTATGTGGAAAGTCACTGTTCTTTAACATGCAAAAATGAGTCAAGGCCAGAGACCTGTGTTTATTATGCCCTGGACTGGTGGTAAGATTGAATATTGAGAGAAAAGCTATCCGACATTTCCTCAGGTATCTCTTCAGCTTTATGCTAAGTGAAAATGAATATTAGTAACTACAACTAATATTTTTTATAATTTGATTACCTCTCCCCCTACCCTTCCCCCACCAAAAAAATTAGTTAGAGGAAGAATAAAATCGTTCCTGGAAACCTGTTTTTGGAGACTGTGCTTCTTTGCCATTCATATCCTGAGATCTAAGGCTGGTGTATGAAGGATCCCTCTTCTGTTTCTGTCTCTGCTAAAAGGTTCTGAATCAAACAGAGGATCATCGGCAGAGGGTTCTGCAGGCAGCTGCTAAGAATATCCGGGTCTGGTTCATCAAAGTGCGGAAGATGAAGGCCATCTACCATACCCTAAACCTGTGCAACATAGATGTGACCCAGAAGTGCCTGATTGCAGAGGTCTGGTGCCCAGTCACTGACCTCGATTCCATCCAGTTTGCACTTAGAAGGGGCACGGTGAGTTCCCAAAGCTAGCATGAAGCTTGCACCCAGGAAGAGAGGGTAGTAACACTAACTGATTTCATTTTTATGGCATTTTAACTTTCAGAGTTCTTTAACATATTCTTTTTGGATCCTGACAATACATGTTATATGTAGCCTAGAATACTATTGTCTTACAAATGTGGAAATTGCAGGTCAGTAAGTAAAGTGAAGTGAGAAAGCCAGCAAAGAAGGGAGTAGTGGTTAGTGAGCAGGAGGGGACTGCTAAGGAAAAGAACTTTGTACTGGAGAGAAGAGGAAGAGTTTCAGTGTTGGGCCTGCACATGGCAGAGAGGGCCTTTGCATCTGCTGATGAGCCAGGCACCTTGAAGGAGCCTGCTGGGCCAGACTGCAGGGGTAAGGGAGGGAGGAGAAGGTAGTGGACGAGAGGCAGAATGCATTGCTTTCTTCAGAGAAGGAGGAGAAAACAGCAGTATTCATAGAAAGGCGGATGTGAAGGAGGTTCCGTGTTCTCATTGGTTACACATTTTAGAGTTTATTTATGTTCATCTATGTTGCCCATGCCAGTCTCAACTTCTGTGTTCAAGTGTTCCACCTGCCTCAGCTTACCAAACGCTGAGACTACAGATACATGCCATTGTATTCTGCTTAAAGTTAAAATTTTTTTTCACAAGGATATACATCCCCATACTTAGTTGAACTTTAATTATAAATTTACACTTAGTTCTGTTTCTCCAAGGATTGGGAAAAATAGCCTATAGTCTTATTTATTCATTAGTTTCATTGATATATAATTTACACAAGAGATAATACATAGATTTTATGCGTACAACTTGAGTTTTGATATATATATATACACACCCATATAGCCACCACAAGTAGGCGTATAATCTAATTTTGATTCCTGTGCTGATGTTTCCCAGGAACACAGTGGTTCCACTGTGCCCTCCATTCTGAACAGGATGCAGACAAACCAGACTCCTCCAACCTACAACAAAACCAACAAGTTCACATACGGCTTTCAAAACATAGTAGATGCTTATGGAATTGGGACTTACCGAGAGATAAACCCAGGTAAAATGTCTGAAAGGTAAAATGTCTGAATCATTTTCCTCTAGAAGTTTTTGTCTGTTTGAGTCTTTTAACACTTCATTTTAAACACTTTTGAACAACTGGCTTAAAACTAAAGATGCTGTTAAGACCTCAGCTCGTGTGTAATACCTGTGAAGGGGTGCCCATTTAACATAAGCAGTTTGTGCTGATAATGGTCAATAACTGCTATATTTTCTTTTTCTAACCTTGGAAAAGGGAAGACAGAAGGAAGCCATTTTAAATATAAGACATCTTTTATCATCTCATGGATCTTTTTTATTGTTTTGTTGGGTTTTTTGTTGTTGTTGTTATTTTGGTACAAGGGATTGAACCCAGGGGCACTTAACCAATGAGCCACATCCCCAGCCCTTTTTATTTTGAGACAGGATCTCAGTTCCCTAGGACCTTGCTAAGACTGGCTTTGAACTTGTGATCCTCCTGCCTCGATGAGATTACAGGAATGCATCAATGTGCCCAGCCAGGTGGTACTTCTTTAAGAGCTTATTGGATTGAATTTTTTTTTTTTTTTGAACCAGGATTGAACCTAGGGTTGATCAACCACTGAGCCACATCCCCAGCCCTCCAGCCCTTTTTATGTTTTATTTTGAAAGTCTCACTTAAGTGGCTTAGAACCTCGCTTAGTTGCTGAGGTGGGCTTTGAACTTGTGATCTTCCTGCCTAAGCCTCCTAAGCCACTGGAATTATAGGCATGTGCCACCATGCCCAGCTTGGATTGGACTCTTGCACGTGCCTTCACAGCCATAAAATACCCATTTATAGCAGCTGCCTTAAGAAAAATGTTTTTTCCTAGCCGGGCATGGTGGCACATGCCTATAATCCCAGTGACTTTGGAGGCTGAGGCAGGAAGATTGCAAGTTAAAGGACAACTTAGTGAGACTTTTTCCTCAAAAAAATTTAAAAAGGACTGGGGTTGTAACTTGGTGATAAAGCACCCTGGGTTCAATTTCCAGTACAGAAAAAAAAAGACATACACACAAAAGAAAAATATTTCTCTAAGATGTCTTATATTCAAAAATGGCTTCCTCCTGTCTTCCCTTTTCCAAGGTTAGAAAAACAAAATATAGCAGTTATTGACCATTATTAGCAAAAATCATTTCTCTCCTCTGTTTGGAGAGGTAATTATTAATCAAGAGTCTGAGGGGCAGGGGATGTGGCTCAAAGTGCTTTTCTAGCATATATGAGGCCCCAGATTCAATCTTCAGCACTGCTAAAAAAAAAAAAAGTTTGAGGATTTGTTTCAGATGTAGCCTTCTGCAGGATATTTGTTTTGCTTCTAGGCTCTTTCCTCATTGCTTAGATGGTAGGTAGCTTCATTCTGCTTAGAAATTGGTTGCTTACGAAGAGAAGACAGCTGGCATGTTCTAGGAACAGTGTCCTAGGGGTTGAAAGAAGGTAATGGGACAAACCACAGTGCTACCAAAGCTTCCTTTTCATTTCCTGTGTTCTTAGTTTAAAATGTTAACAGTAGCACATTATTTCATTAGCTGCTTTGTGAGGGTGTAGAGTTCCTGCCATGAAAGATTTTCCCTGAGAGTTCATCTGTTCAACAACCTGGGAATAAGCCACCTTATACTGATGTTAATTAAAACATGGAGAAGAATGTGATATTTTGGGAATTGTGCTTTCTTTTATTATTTATTTATTTATTTATTTATGGTGCTAGGGATTGAACCCAGGGGCACTCAACCACTGAGCCATGTCTCCGGTCCTTCTTTTGTATTTAGAGACAGGGTCTCACTGAGTTGCTTAGGGTCTCACTAAGTTGCTGAGGCTGGCTTTGAATGAGTGATCTTCCTTCCTCAACCTCCCAAACTGCTGGAACAATAGGCAGGCACTACCATGCCCAGCATGTGCTTTCTTTAGTGTACTTGGTGATTTTCTTTCTTTGGTTTTTTTGTAGCTCCATATACCATCATCACTTTCCCTTTTCTATTTGCTGTGATGTTTGGAGATTTTGGCCATGGCATTTTGATGACCCTTTTTGCTGTGTGGATGGTGTTAAGGGAGAGCCGGATCCTCTCCCAGAAGAATGAGAATGAGGTAATGTTATATCTGTATTTGACTGAAGTGTTTATGATTTCTTAGGCATTCATTATGAAATTATGGTCAAAAAGTCTTTTATGCATAAATTTATCAAAAGGGGATAGAATAAGTTCATTTTTTACTAAAGAGACCATGTGCTGTACAAGCAAATTTCTCTTAACATTGTATTTGATCTATACTTCAAGCTCTCTGAACCAGGATGGAGTAAAGTAGCACCAGAAGCTAGTGTATTCTAAATAACAGTGTCACTGCATGAGCTGCAGTGAGTGCATTCTCATTACTTCTTTCTTCTGATTCCCAGATGTTTAGCACTGTGTTCAGTGGTCGATACATTATTCTGTTGATGGGAGTTTTCTCCATTTATACTGGCCTCATCTACAATGACTGCTTTTCCAAGTCTCTTAATATCTTTGGGTCATCCTGGAGTGTGCGACCAATGTTCACCAAATATAATTGGACGTAAGTTACGGAAGAAGCTAAAAGTCAAAACATAATCCTTTCATGTTCAGCTCTGATTTGTAAGACAAGGAATAAACTAATCCCTGTTAGGAAGTGGTTGACGATATCCCTATTTCAGAAGAATGCAGTATTTTGTCTTGTTTATACTCCAACTTGTGAAGCGCTTTATGATTTGTTCTCCATGTATCAAGGAACCAAGACTATAAATTAACTGCATTTTGAGGGGGTGGAGGCAAAATTAAAAAGCAGATTCCTCAAATTCCCTACTTACTTATATATATATATGTTTTTAATTTTTGTGTGTGTTATTCTTGACTACTAGTCCATCTTTTATTAAAGAGACAAGATTGCTGTAGTAGTTTCTTTTGGGGTTATTTTATGAACCCTAGTAGTTTCCCTTCTTGATCAAAAATAAATAGGTTTTTCTCCTAACACGATAGGGAGGAGACTCTTCGGGGAAACCCTGTTCTCCAGCTGAACCCAACTGTCCCTGGAGTTTTTGGTGGGCCATACCCTTTTGGTATTGATCCGGTAAGAGTATTCTTTCTCATATGCTATTTTCACTTGTAACCCTGAAATGAGAGAATTAAAGTGAAGATAGTTACTTGCTTTTTAGTTGACACATTTTTAGAAAACCTTGATTTATTTGTTCAGAGTACTTCAAAGTCAGGATAGACTCACACTTCTTGTTTATTTCTTTTCTTTTTTGTGGTACTGGTTATTTAACCCAGGGGCACTTAACAATGGAGTTATATCCCCAGTTCTTTTTATTTTTTTTATTTTGAGACAGGTTCTTGCTAAGTTACTGAGCCTGGCCTCAAACTTGCAATCCTCCTGCCTCAGCCTCCCAAGTCACTGAAATTACAGGAGTATGCTACCATGCCCAGCATTACTTATTTCTGAGGTGGCTAATATTGACTCTGGGAAGGCTGATTTTTCAAGATCTCTTCCCAGTATTTTTAGCAGAAGGTTTAACAAAGCTGAAATACTTCTTTCCTATGGATTTCAGACTTTTTTTTTCTTTGCTAAAGTTGCAAACTTAAAAAAAAAATTATCTTAGAGTTTTTTTTTCCAAATACTTTGGCAAATAAAATATGATCAATCAATTTTGGGGGGGGGCAGGTACCAGAGATTGAACTCAGGGGCACTCAACCACTGAGCCACATCCCCAGCCCTATTTTGTATTTTATTTAGAGGCAGGGTCTCACTGAATTGCTTAGTGTCTCACTTTTGCTGAGGCTGGCTTTGAATTTGCAATCATCCTGCCTCAACCTCTGAGCTGCTAGTATTACAGGAATGTACTACCGCACCCGGCAGATGAACTCTTTTTGGACAGGACAGTTCAAATAGAAAAGATGCTGAGCTAGGAGGTACAAGCGTCTTAGGCTACAGAGCTTGCACTTTCACCTTAAGATGACCGTGGGGATTCAGGGAAGGTTTTGGCACAGGAGGATGATTAGATGAGAGCCATGGTTTAGGCAGCGTGAACAGATGGCCCAATGGAGGCAGATGAAACTGTCAGACAGTACTAACAAGCATTCAAGCCTTAGGTAATAGGAACTACAGAAGTTGATAGTGAAAGATAAAGGAGGCTGGGCATGATAGCACCCACTTCTACAACCTGTAATTCTAGCTACTTGGGAGGCTGAAGCAGGAGAATTGCAAGTTCAAGGCCAATTGAGGCAATTTGGAAAGAACCTGTTTCAAAATTTAAAAATAAATAAAAAGGGGAGAATAATTCAGTGGTAGAGCACCTCTGGATTCAATCCTCATTACTGAAGAAAAAAAAAGATATATGAGATCTGGGAGTGTAGCTCAGTCGTACAGTACTTGCCTAAAATGTTCCAGGCCTGTGTTCTGTCTCCAACACTGTATGCACATGCACACACAGATAGATGGAACAACATCATCAAGGAATATGATCAGCAAAACAGGTGTGGGGTAATCTGCAAGATAAATAACCCAGTTTCTTAAAAAAAAATTATATTTTGTAGGGAACAAAAAAGGAAAAATAGAAGGAGAACCTATAGATAAGAGACTTAAAAACTAAATTAGCTATCACAGTGTAAGACCTTAACTGGACTTTGCGTTAAATAAATTAACTCCAAAAAATAGTCTGGACAAAATCAGAGAAATTTGAATGTTGAATATTTTATGATATTAAAGAATCATTATTAGGGTTGGGTTCTAGCTCATTGATAGAACATATGCTTAGCAGAGCCCTGAGTTCAATCCCCAGCACACACACACAAAAAAAGGATAATGCTTTTTGGTGTGGTGACTGTATTATGGATATATTTTTAAAAAGGAATCCTTATCTGGGCATGGTGGCATATGCCTATGATCCCAACCAACAAGTAGAGTGGCTGAGGCAAGAGGGTACATGTTTGAGGCCAGCTTTGGCAACTTAGCAAGACCTTTTCTGAAAAAATTAAAAGGACTAGGGCTGGGTACAGTGGAACACGCTTGTAATCCCAGTGATTCGGGAGGCTGAGGCAGGAGGATTACAAGTTAAAAGTCAGTTTCAGCAATTTAATGAGGCCCTAAGCAACTTAGTGAGACCCTGCCTTAAAATAAAAACATAAAAAGGATGAGGGATATAGCTTAGTGATAAAGTACTCTGGGTTCAATTCCTACTATCAAAAACAAAAACAAAAAAGCACTGGTGATATGACTCAATGATAAAGCACCTCCGGATTCAATTCCAAGTATCAAAATTTAAAGGGATGGGGATGTAGCTTACTTCCCTAGCATGTGTGAGGTCACCAGCACACACAAAACTTCTTACCTTTTAGAGATCCATACTAAAATATTTACAGGTAAAATGATCTGATATCTAGACTTTGCTTCAAAATAATATAAAAGTGGGAAGTGGGCATGATGAAATATATTGGTATGAATCCATAAATTGATAGAATTGTTGAAGTTGACTGATACAGCAGTTTATTATTCTGTTTAAATATAGGTTTAGAATGTTCCATTTAAAAAACAAACAAAAAACCCTTAGCTGAATATGGTAATACATGCTTATAATCCCAGATTCTTAGGAAGCTAAATCAGTAGTCTTGCAAATTCAAAGCCAGACTGGGCAATTTACCAAGATTCTATCTCAAAGTAAAAATATATAAAGGGCTGGGGATGTAGTCCATTGCTTGCCTAACATGAGGAAAGCCCCGGGTTCAATAAACAAAACAAACAAAAAAATGTTTTAATCAGTTGAATAATATTTTCCCATTTGAGAATTCTTTGTGTAATACCTTTTTGTTTTATTGGGTCGTGACAGATTTGGAACATTGCTACCAATAAGCTGACCTTCCTCAACTCCTTTAAGATGAAGATGTCTGTTATTCTTGGTATCATCCATATGATGTTTGGAGTCAGTCTGAGCCTTTTCAACCATATGTGAGTTGCTCTGTTCCTATATTCATAAGAGTGTACATAGTCGCTGGGATGTGGTGACACACACCTGTAATCACAGAGATTTGGGAAGCCAAGGCAGGAGGATTGCAAATCTTTTTTGGGGGGGGGGTGGGGGGGGGTGGGGGGTGGTTTACTGAGAATTGAATTCAGGGCCACTCAACCATTGAGCCACATCCTGAGCCCTATTTTTTTTTTTTTTTTTTGTATTTTACTTAAGACAGGGTCTCACTGAGTTGCTTAGTGCCTTGCCATTGCTGAGGTTGGCTTTGAACTTGAGATCCTCCTGTCTCAGCCTCCTGAGCTCCTGGGATTACAGGCATTTGCCACTGCACCTATCCAAGGATTACAAGTTTGTTTTGTTTTTTTTTTTAAAGAGAGAGGAGAGAGAGAGAGAAAGAGAAAGAGAATTTATTTTTAATATTTATTTTTTAGTTCTCGGCGGACACAACATCTTTTGTTTGTATGTGGTGCTGAGGATCGAACCCGGGCGGCACGCATGCCAGGCGAGTGCGCTACCGCTTGAGCCATATCCCCAGCCCAGGATTACAAGTTTAAAACCAGCTTTAGCAACTTAGCAAGGCTCTAAGCAACTTAGCGAGACCCTGTCTCAAAATAAAAAGTGCTGGGTATGTGGCTTATTGGTTAAGCACCCCTGGATTCCACCCCCAGTACAAAAAAAAAAAAAAAAGAATGAATTATTCAGATAATGCTTTTGCCTAAAGACATCGTATCATATTTGGGGAGGCATTAATAACTCAGAACCTGACTGTATTATAGAAGTAATTTTTCAAAAATCTTATGGTGTTAAATGAAGCTAAATTGTAGTCCCTTAGCAGTTTGCAGCAGCAGTAAATTTTTTTTTTTTTTTTTTTTAGGTTTTTTAGTTGTTAATGGGCTTTATTTATATGCAGTGCTGAGAATCGAACCCAGTGTCTCACACATGCTAGGCAAGAGCTCTACCACTGAGCCACAACCCCAGCCCAGCAGTAAAAATCTTTGAAAGCAAATTAGTAGGCAATTTTCATCAAATTGAGTGAATTATTTTTCTTCCTTAATGTGAAACTCACTTAAAGTTATAAACTGTAGTCCCAAAGTACACTAAATTTTTTAGTCTCTTTCTCATGGAGAGAATGGTGGGCATGGTTCTGAAGCCATTCAAGACCCAGAAATTTGAAAGTGGTAGTTAATTCTGCATTGTCTCTGTTGCATCCAGTGCTTCTGGGTGCTGCTGTTGTTTAAAGTGATACAGACAGAATTGAGGGAGCCGGACTGGGCCACTTAGCAAGACCCTCTCTCAAAAAGGGTCAGGGAAGTAACATTGCTTGCCTGGCATGAGGGAAGCGCTGGGTTCAGTCCCCCATAACATAAAAGTGCTCCTGGGTGAAAAATGTAGTGAATATTATATTCAGTGAAGGAGTGGCCCTGGTCTATTGAGCCATAATATTCATTTTTTTCCTCTTTCCCTTTTTAGCTATTTCAAGAAGCCCCTGAATATCTACTTTGGATTTATTCCTGAAGTGATCTTCATGTCCTCTTTGTTTGGCTACTTGGTTATCCTAATTTTTTACAAATGGACAGCCTATGATGCTTATTCTTCTGAGAACGCACCTAGCCTTCTGATCCATTTCATCAACATGTTCCTCTTTTCCTATCCGGATTCTGGTATTTCAATGCTGTATTCTGGACAGGTGTGTCAACCCAGAGGGTGGCTCTCATTGGTCGTCAGGAAGCCACATGTTTCTCTGACCCTAAAAAAACCTAAAATACCTTTCTGTAATATTTAGTTTTAGGCCCATACACCCAGATATAAATTGAGACCATTTGTCTTATCTTGGAGGGTTCACTGTCATTTCTATATCCAGAAAAGATAAAATTTAGAACTATCCTCTTATGGAACAGTTCTCAAGTTTGCCACAGCATCTGTTAAGTAATATGAGACACTAGACAGTGTTATTAATATATCAGTAAGAAAGAACTGTTTGGAGGAAATTTGTGCTGGATTTAGAAACTGTACATCTGATTAATGTACTTTAAAGTGACGTGCCCTATCCTTATTTTGCAGAAAGGAATTCAGTGTTTCCTGGTAGTGGTTGCTCTACTGTGTGTACCTTGGATGCTACTGTTTAAGCCACTGGTTCTTCGCCATCAATATTTGAGGAGGAAGCATTTGGTAAGTGTATATCTACTATTAAAAATTACTAGACTTTTTTTTTTTTTAAGATCTAGGTAATAAGACTGGGGATGTAGCTCAGTTTTAGAGTACTTGCCTAGCATATGTGAGGCCATAAGTCCAATCCCCAGTACTGCAAAAAGAAATAAACAAATAATAAGTAAATAACAAGATGATTTCTCAGATGATATAATTAGCTGTGCACAAATCTGTACACTCTTAAAACACATTCATGTTATATCCCAGCATGAGAACTAGGCCTGCCAAAGTCAGTATTATATACTTGCTGCTCAGACATATGGATTCAGCTTTAGTAGCTGGGTTAGAACAAATCACAAGTTTTTACCTTTCCTGGTCATGCTTTATTCATGCTGTGCTCATCAGAATCCAGGCCTGAACCTGTCTAGATGCAGCATCAGCCAAAACAAGGTTGCAAAAGCTACAGACAGGTGAACCCACTCATGTGATTTGCCTGGGTGACCACAGGAATGACACTGAGACTTTTTTTTTTTTTTTTTTTAATTATACTTCAACCAACCAACACATCTGGGCAAAAGGTTTGGTTTACAGCATGTTTTTTTCCCCCCAAAGCAACATATATGTATGTTTGCTTAATGTATATGTGCATATGAATTACACACACACACACACACACACAAAGTTAGAATTGCCAAACATTCAGTGTTGTGTGTAATTTCTGGCTATCCAGTAATGCTTACATATTGCACTGCCTGAGAAAACCCAAAAGATCTTGTTGCATGACTCTCATGTAGCTGTGAGATTTTCCCTCCTATTGGAGAGCAGTTGAATTACAAGACCCTTCTCCCTTTTCTGACCATCTTCATCCTTCCATGTACCCTCCATTCGTCTCCCCTTTCCCTTTCTCCCTCTTTTGTTTTCTTCTCCCTTCTTCTTTTCTTCCATTCACTATCAGGAAGGGCAACCTGTGGAGGCCCCAGTCAGCCCAACCCCGAGCCAACAGGGACTAGAGGCAGCAGCGGCTGCAACAGTGAGTGAATTAAATCCAGCAAACCAAACATTTTGTTAAGGAGGTGGCAAACAGTGCAGCAGAATTTTTTTTTTTAACACGGTTGAGAGCATGGGACATGTGCACTCTTGGGAAGTATGTCCTTGTTCCTCATTGAGATGATGACAGAAGAGCTTTCCATCTCTTAAGAATAGATTCTGGTATCATCTTTACTTGATCTACTAAGTTTCTATTCAAATATGTAAGTACAGTTCTATCCATGGGAGTGAAGTGGCTGTTGTACCCTCTCCGAGTCCCATCATCTTAAACCAAAACGGCAGCTCTTGGACTCATCTACTTTTGTGTCTGTATTTTGTGACCATGTATTGGATGATTTTTCAACAGGGAGGCAAAAACATCTCTGTGATTCTTAAATTGGTTTTCTTGTACTTTAGAGTTCTGCTTCAGAATGATTCTTAGACTTTGGGTCCTTTTTAGCAAAATTATTTAATGCTCTTTAAAGTGAGAATGTGTACATATTTCCTTTTTGTGAAAGACTCAGAAACCCTTATGTCCTCAGCTGTTTCAGTGAGACCTCCACTTTCCCATGTGTCTTGTGCCTACTGTATATCCAGTGTAGTAACCAAAGTCATCTTCTGTCTTGATTTTCCCCTCTTCTGATACTAAGTTGTGATTCAGTAATAACACTTTGAATGTTAGCATTTGAGTATTTGTCCTTAAAAAACATCTTTTAACCACAATCTCATAATGCACTAATATCAAATTAGCTCAGTATATTCTAGATTATGAATCTACAAGATTTAAAAAAGAATCTCCCTAGTGGTGATTATGGTGATTATTCATGTACTTCCATGTTCTAGTAGCATATACTCCTTTAAAGAAAATGAAGTACTTAGATGGATAACCATTTCCTCCAGTAGGTGTTCCTGATCCTTTTGGAAAAATGCTTAGCCCTCCTACTAGAACTACTCTAAAGGGGCTGGTATTTTGGGTCAAAAGAAATTTTAATCAATTGTAGGGGCTTACTTTCTTTTTCCTGTAAGAAATAAAACCCTTAAAACACATATAGCCCATTATTAATGTTCTTTCCGTGCACTTTTATTTCTGCTAGTCTTAGCATCATAAAGTACTTCTGAGAAGGTCTTGATGCTTTTAAACCTGGCAGTGACTTCTACGATAAATTCCAAGTCAAAAATCCCAGTCTGGAGCCCTTCACATTCTTAGTGTCTTCTTATCTCAGTGGTTCTTTAACCAAACATCTGCTTCTGGGGAGCAGCCCATTCAATGGCTTCAGGATGACCACTCTACAAGAAGGGCTCTAGATTCTTAATGCCAGAGGGCTGAGTATTTGAACACGGATTTGGTTTTTGTCCTCTTAGTTGTCTGTGAGTGGTGTATCACAGTTTTAATTTCAGTTTTTGTGCTGATGTGTGTCTTTCATCCCCCTATCCATAACTCTTATTCTCTGCATTCTGAAGAGGTACTTGTTATTGTCTGGCTGGGAGGTTTAACCTGTCTGCCCTCACTTTATCTGCTGGTTGGAAAAACAGAAAAGCCTTTTGCTTTGGTAGCTTTGAATCCTGAAACCATCCTGAAGCCTATAACCCAGCTCAGGACACACTGGAGTTCCCTCTTGTGCCCCTATTTTGGGAGGGGGCACTGAGGATATAACCCAGGGATGCTCTATCACTGAGCTACAGACATACCCAGCCTTTTGTTGTTGTTATTATTATTTTTTTGTGGGGGGGGTATTGGGGATTGAACTCGGGGGCACTTGACCACTAAGCCATATCCCCAGCCCTGTTTGTATTTTTATTTAGAGACAGGGACTCACTGAATTGCTTAGCGCCTTGCCAAGTTGCTGAGGCTGGCTTGGAACTTGCGATCCTCCTGCCTCAGCCTTAGGAGCCACTGGGATTACAGGCATGCACCACTATGCCTATTTTTAATTTTGAGACAGGGTCACACTAATTTGTGGAGGCTGGCCTCAAGTTTGCAATTCTCCTACCTGAGTCTCCCAGTCACTGAGATTACAGGGCTGTACCACTGCTCCCAGCTTTTGTGCTTTTTTTTTTTGGTACACAGGTTTCAGTGGTTCCCAAATATGACTACATATCAGAATCACCCCTAAACTTTGGGTTGGTTTCTTAGAGTATTAAAACAAAATAGATAAATGGAAGAAGAAATAAAAGTGATCCATGATCCAGACAATCCCCTGTTGACACTTTGAAAAATAAAATAGTAGATAGACTTGGCTGGAGAGTGTGCATAGTAATAACTAAGAAGAAAACATCGGTTCCCACTGCAGTTTTCCTCCACCTCCAGGGTATTATTAATAGGGAGGGGCTTTGCCTCTAGCATATATCTGTCATCTTTGGATACAATGTGTGTGTGTGTGTGTGTGTGTGTGTGTGTATGTGGGTGCGGGGAAACACATTAAGAGTTGGGTTTTAAACTGTGGCTCTTCTGCCCCTTATTTATTATTTATTTATTTATTTAAGATTGAATGTGTATTATTAGTTATTTCACAGTGATGCCTACTCTCTAGGTAGCCTGGCATTCCAGAGAATATTGTTGGATATGCCAAAATTACACAATCACTTTTTCATTGATGGATGTGTTGGTTATTCCCAATTCTTTGCCATTATAAACAATTTGGGGAATATCTTTGTATAGCTTATTAAAGTTTTGCAAGCATGTCACACAATGGGATTGCTCTATCCCAAATGGTACATGTGTTATACATTTTTAATAGACTCTTCACAATGATTAGGTAATTTCTACGTGGGGGAATAGTTTTTAAATATGGATTTACTGTGCCCCACCCTAGACCTACCATATTTATAATTTCTGGAGATAGTATTTGAAAGTTTTTTTAAAAGTATAGCTTTAAGATGATTATAATGCTGCTGATTTTTTGACCAGCATATGAGGACCACTGTTAGAAAAAGAGGGAGACTCTGAGTATGGAACCACATGCCTATAATCTCAACAACTTGGGAGGCTAAGGCAGGAGGATTGTGAGTTTGAGGCCAGTCTCAGTAACTTAGCAAGGACCCATTTCAAAATAAAAAAGAGAGCTAGGGATATGGCTTAGGGGTAAGGCCTAAGTATTTGAACACGGTTTAAATACTTGAGTTTAATCCCAAGTACCCCCACTCAGAAGAAGAAAAAGGGAGAATCTGTGCAGACATTGGGGTCTGAGCTAGCCAGTGAACTGTGGTAAAAGGGGTACCCCAAAAGGTGAAGCTAAGGAGAAGAACCACAGGGTAGTTGGCCAAACCTTCTTGCACATTGTGCTGCTGCCCCATAGGCCATTTTGCAGGAGGATAGCCCTCCACCTCTTTCCTGGAGAGAGACTTATGAAGTGGTTCTAGGGCTGCTTCTCAAGTTGACTTTAAAATTCTATCCAAACTTGTACACCCTTCTGCTGAAGACTGTACTTGTGAAGACAGAAGGAACAAACGCCAAGTCAGTTTCTGCCCTGTAACAGTCATTTTAACACTCCAAAACTCTCCAAAGCACCTCTTTGATCTGTTGTTATTTTTTAACTCAGTATTCTCTAGCCACAAATAAATGTACATTAAGTGAATGTACATTAATTTTTTTTACTTCCCTAACCTAGGCACTCCTTTGGTCCTGGGCAGAGATCCTGCACATTTCTGGGAGAGATTGCTGGAACTCCTGGGCTCCTGTTGAAAGCTTATCAGACTAGCATGCACTCACTATGTCTCTTGGCTTCTCTCCCTCTTAGAAAGCCTAATCTTTATTTCCAACAAATTTAAGCCCTTGCAGCCTTTACTGATAAAGGTGCAGTTGTTAAGAGAATGTGTTTGTATTCAGTTTTCATTCAAGCAGGGTTCTCGGCATCGATCAAGGCTAGGTTGATGCCTCTTGGTACAGCTGGCTGAGGTGGTAAATTCAGGTTACCACCTGTAGGGTCTGGGGCAGTGGTGGTTGGGGTGGGAACAGTTGTTCATTTTTACTTAGCTGTTCAATTAGTGAGTTTTGCCCTTGTTGTTAGGATATATGCTCTTCTGAGGTTTGTATGTACTAACCATCGCCCTTCCTCACCTCACAGAATGTCACATTAAAGCCCAGGCAAATTCTACTCTTTCTGTTCATCTGTGTAGGGAACTCTCAACTTTGGTGGGATCAGGGTGGGCAACGGACCGACAGAGGAGGATGCTGAGATTATTCAGCATGACCAGCTCTCCACCCATTCAGAGGACGCAGAAGAGGTAAGATCCAGTGGTGTGGGCTTCCTCTCCTTCCACCTTGGGTCAGTCCTAGTCTTGTTTTCCTAAGAAGCTTACTCCAGTTTTCTTGAAAAGTAAAAATACTAACAATCAGCTTGCCCTCTGGGCTGCTTAGGGTACCACAGCTTTTTCTGTGGGCCCTTGCTCTAACTCCAGTGTTGCCTATAGAGCCCACAGCAGCTTTGCTCTGCTCTTCTTGAATTCCATGGTGCATGCAGTACTGTGCACACAGTCTCAGCTGCTAACTGCTCTCCTCAGCCCAAGCAGCACCCAGCATCCCAGTTCTTGTTACCTGAAACAGACTATTCAGGATGGCTTCTTTGTCCCTTGATCCTTCTGACGGTTGTTCTGTTTACATTGTTAACCGAGTATAATCAATCAGTGGTACTTTTTAAGTCCTATGCTACTGATGTGTTCTTGTTGTAGATATTTTGTTTTTGTTATTATTATTTAAATATTTTTTTAGTTGTAGTTGGACACAATATCTTTATTTTATTTATTTATTTTTATTAGGTGCTGAGGATCGAACCCAGGGCCTTGCACGTGCTAGGCAAGCGCTCTAGCTCTGAGCCCCAGCCCCTTTATTATTAATTTTTATTTGCCTCTTTTTTTTTTTATAGGTCATTACCTGACCATTCATAGCATAAAGTCTCTGAATTGAACTATTAAATATTAACTATTCGTTTTATTTATTAAAACAGAATGTTCTTTTTTTTTGTTTGTTTTGGGTTTTTTTCCCCCCATTGTTTTGTGTGCTTTTGGTTTTTTGAGACAGAGTTTTGCTATATTTCCCAGTCTGGTCCCGAACTTGGGCTCCTCTTCCCTTGGCAAAATATTCATTTTTAAAGTATAAATGAGTAGAGGACCTAGATTGAACTTTTCAGTCTGTCTGACCGCTTTCAACCGTGTATATGATTTTTTTTTTTAATTACAAGCATTGGGGTGCCTTTAAAAATATTTATCTTACTGCTCTCAGTTCCTGCTATTCTCATTTTGCGTGTGTAGACTAATTTATTAGTCCATGTAATGTTCGTTGCCAGTCCTCCCCAAGAAGCAGGCAGTAGTATGTGCTCATAACCTATGACCCTGTGTGTGGCGTGCATTCCCACTAAGTGTAAATTTGTGTTTTCAAGCCTACCGAGGACGAAGTGGTAAGACAAAAGCCTTCATGTTTATTTGGGGGCTTCTCTTTTCCCATCCTTGTGATCACTCTGACCCTGCAACACCCTGGGGCTACACACGTGACACTGTGCATCCTGCATCTCACTGGCCATTTCTAACCAGTTTGTGAGCCTGTGTTCTGAAAAAGCTCATCTCCATTAACTGCATCTCATGTTGATCACCTCTGTCTTTGTGTCATTGACTTTGCAGATCTAATACCTCTAAGAGTGGCTTTGAAGGAGCTGCAAGTAATGTCTGCACTGGCATTCTTGAAGTGACTTCCCTTGGGGGCTAAGTCCCATTGGGTCTTCATGTTCCTCTCCTGTGATGTCGTTGCTCTCCCACTGGGAGTAGCTGTGCGCCCTGCTCCTCTGAGTACCTATGAGCATAGCTTACCCTTCCTCCCTGTCTGAGATGCAGCCAGCCACATCCTGCTGCCCTCATCAGCTTGATGCTTCCCCTTAGAACCACTAGACCCTTGCTTGGGGTCAGCTCTACCTCCATGTGACCCAGTGGAGAGGGAGACAACTTTTAGGAGGCTTTGCCTCTCGGATGCATCCCAGGAAGAGTAATCTGTCTGGTGAAGAATTTATATATCAGACAAATGTTAAGAGCAACAGAATGAAAAGAAGTTTGGCTAAATATGCAGGCCACATCTAGAGTGGAAGGCCTTCTAGCTCAGCAATATTTCATTTGGCAACACATGTTCTGAATTGGGTGTTTAAAAGGCCTTGCTGCACTGTTTACATCTTTCTCCTACCCCCCACCCCCGAAAAACAAAACAAAACTTCTTTAAAATGCCTAGACCCTTCCTTTCCTGGCTCTCCTGGTCCTCTGTCTAAGGGCAGTGGAATGGGAATGGAAAACCTCACTGACCTGTGTAAAACAGGCAGTGCTTGTCTTCCTGACATTTGGAGAGGCTCCTTTGCTGGCATCAAGGATTTTCTTTGTTCTCTGCAGTCATTGGCTGAGCTGCCTGGCATGATTGGGGAGACAATGTTCCACGTTAGCAAGGAACCCAACCTTCTCCCGGTATCACCACCTCCCACAATATTGCATTCTAAATGTTGTCCTCATCGAGTACAGAATGCATGGTCTTAGTCAGAATGGTTCAGCCAGCCATCTTTTATCAATGTCCTTGTTTGTAGCCATGTCCTTTGGGTTGGACAGTCAAAGAAGATAGACTCTAATTCAGCCTTCCCAGTCTTTGGCCACCCAACTCAAGAGATTTAGTTCACTGTGCTTCCTTAATAGTCATAACATTGTATCTTTATCAGGCACTGATACTCTTCAGCCAAAATTTAGGTAACTATATCAGTTACATAATGATACTAAACAAAGAAAATTCCCTTAAAAAGTCCAGCCTGCTTCTAGAATTTCCCCATTTTGCTTGGATGCAAACCCTTGTGTGTTCCCTGTAGGACATTGTTCTCTCCCTGGGAGGCACTCATTTTTGTTGCAAATAAGGACCAGGACACTTGATAGTCTCAAAAGTTGTAACTAGGGGCGGGGGTTGTGGCTCAGCGGTAGAGAGCGCACCCCGCACATGCGAGACCCTGGGTTTGATCCTCAGCACCACATAAAAGTAAATAAGTGAAATAGAGGTATTGTGTCCAATTACAACTAAAAATAAATAAATATATATTTTTTTAAAAAGTTGTAACCACTCAGCAAGGGTCAGCAGCCCCCTCCCCACTGGCTTCTCATGAGGTGATTCACCAACTCATCCCCACACTCACCCACCTGTCCAAACACTCACCAACCCATCTAGTCATTCATTCACCTTCTGTGTGTCAAGCCATATGTTTAGTGCTGTAGAGACCAAGGGAAAAAAGCCCATAGTTCTTGCCTTTAAGCATCTCCCAAAGTGGGGAGACAGTCTGGGTGGCGGATGCCATGATGGGCACTGCTCAGGATGCCGTGGGAGCACAGATAAGGCCTTGAGAAACACTGGGATGAGGTTGGGAAGAATTCAGAAAAGGATTCCCTCAGGGACTTATTCCTGAGCATAGCCTGGCCAAGCAGGGGTTTCTGGGGGTGGAGATGAGCAGGTGTTCAGCTTGGCTGGAGCAGAGTCAGGAGTTGGAGGACTGGTGGGAGATGAGACGAGAGGTTTGGCAGAAACATGCCATAGTAGTTGTTGCCTCCTTGGGGCAACAGGAGCCATCAGAGAGTGGAAAAGCTGGAGCAACACAGGCACATGTGCATTGCTGAACTAGCTCCAGGGTTAGAGTTGTAGGGGTTGTTGGGTGGGGGAGGGGCACAGTCTGAAGACAGGGACACCATCTAGTCTGATGTGATTCAGGAAAGAATTGGGCAGCCTGAAGTGAAGTAAGGCATTTATAGGAGGAGTTGGAAATGAAGGGGCCAATATGAGACATTAAGAAAGTAAAAGCTGAGCTGGGGTCGTGGCTCAGCAGTAGACTGCTCACCTAGCATGTACGAGGCCCTGGGTTCGATCCTCAGCACCACATAAAAATAAATAAATAAAATAAGGGTATTGTGTCCAACTACAACTAAAAGTAAATCAAATAAACCAAAAAAAAACCAAAGTAAAAGCTGCTGAAGCTAGGGCACACCTATAATCCAAGCAACTTGGAAAGCTAACGCGGGAGGATCAGAAGTTGAAGGCCAGCCTCAGCAACTTAGTGAGATCCTGTCTCAAAAAATAAAAAGGCACCTGTAATCCCAGCAGCTCAGGAGGCTGAGACAGGAGGATCATTAATTCAAAGCCAGCCTCAGCAATGGCGAGGTACTAAGAAACTCAGTGAGACCTTGTCTCTAAATAAAATACAAAATAGGGCTGGGGATGTGGCGCAATGGTTGAGTGCCCCTGTGTTCAATCCCTGGGACCCAAAAAATAAATAAATAAAAATAAAAAGGGTTGGGGATATAGTGCTGTGGTGAAGCACCCCTGGCTTCAAAAGCTAAGGTCCCAGTGCCTTGGTGAATATAGAGGGTGCGAGTAAGATAGACTGCCAGGATTGGACATGGAATGGAAATAGGTCTTTTTGGAGGCAGAGGGGAGCAGCTAATTAATTTTGTTCAGGTGGTGTTGAATCAAGGCCTGTGGTGTACCAGAAAGTACAGCACAGCAACACATAGCACAGCTAATTGAGAATAGGCAACAGGGAGATGGAGATGTTCATTTGGGACTGTTGAGGCCCTGAGTGGCAGTCCCACAGGAAAGACCTAAAGGGCTGAGGTTGGAACTCCAGGGAACCTCAGTGTTTAAGGAAGAACTGTGGTGGAGATGAATAAAGAATGTTCAGAAAGTTAGAATAATAAAGTCCAAGGGAAAACAAGTGTCTCAAGAAGGAGGAAGTGGCAGACACTACAGAAACACAGTCAAGGACATAGTATGGGGAGGTAAGGTGGCCACCGTCCTTAGAAGAAGGCAGAAGCCAAGGTATGGAATGAATGGAGCCAGGGGAAGCTGAGATAAGCCTGCAGATGGGGAGTGCTCCTTGACTCATGGTTCCGTCCAAGTTGACTTCTGTGGGGCCAGTGCTGAGTGACATTGCTTCCAAATGCTGGGCTAGATTTTTCACTTACTTCTCATATCACCTCAGAAACTATGACCAAGCAGGAAGATGGGAGTGAAAGAGAGGAGAAAGTGAGGATAATGCCTGGAAGGGTAGCTTCCCCCTCTCCCTTTCCTGTTTCAATGGGAGAATCCTGAGGGGAATAAAAATGCTAAAAAGGGCAGCTTCTCAGGGAGCCCCTGGGCGTCTTAGAGCTGTGGACTTGACTTCCCCTCAGCACAGACAGCAGTAGTGGGGAAAAGCTGCTCACAGCGTTGCTAGGGTTAAGGTACCTCAGGAAAACTAGGGTTACTGTGTTTTCAGGGTAGGTAAGAGATTCAAAGACCCCTGTTCCATGAGAAAAGTCCAGAAATAAGGCAGGGCATAGTCAGAGGTGAAACAAAGTGAGGCATTCGTGAAAGGTGGCATGCTGGAACTGGTCCCACTGCATTTTGGCTTTACCAGCCTAGTCCCTAAATACAGTTTAGAAACTGGGGTGAAAAATAGACACTGACCTGAGGGCCAGGCAGTGGCTGAGCCACAGGAGTCCTGAGGTCCATGAGGCTCCTAGGCTCGGCTCTAGGGAGGAGACCCAAGAAGGGGAATGTCCTGTGGTCTTTTATGGGCTATTGATTACTCCACCTGGGGCTTCTAGAATATACTACTCAAAAACCTGTATTTCCCCCAGTTGTTCTTGGAGCAGTCCTTAAAGTGGACTCCTCAGAGCCTGTTCTAGCCCACCTCTTTCTTTTAGAAATAATTCTTGATGTTGAAAGGAAAGCTGGAAGAAAGGGAGCATGAGGAAAACAAAAACCCAAGGCAAGCTGTTTGGCCTTAAGCAGCTATCCATGTGGGAATTGGTAAGACTGTCAAAATTTTCCTGGTAATGTTTTCAGAAGTCACAGAAGAAAAAGGTGATTTTGATCCCAAAAGGCTATAAAAGAATAAGTAAAGATGTCATAGAGGGGCTGGGGATTTGGCTCAAGTGGTAGCGCGCTCGCCTGGCATGCGTGCGGCCCGGGTTCGATCCTTAGCACCACATACAAAACAAAGATGTTGTGTCTGCCAAAAATAAAGATTGAAATTCTCTCTCTCTCTTAAAAAAAAAAAAAAAAAGAACATGCTACTTCTAAATTAAAAAAAAAAAAAAGATGTCATAGAGGCTTAGTCTTCTGCAGGCTTGAGAGAGCTGCCAGATTCCCAGCAGGGCTCCCTGGTGGGCATCAGCAGAAGGTCGGAATCAGCTGGGCTCAGTCCACTGACTAGTCCTTATGATCCCAAGCCCAGTCTTCCTCCCAACTGAGTGCCAGACACAGCACATACCTGACTTGAGTTCAAAGCCCAGCAAGGAGAGAAAACAAACATGTTGAGAAGAATCTCATTAACCAGCCACTTAGGAGGGGAGGCTGAGGCAGGAAGATCACAAGTTCAGTGTCAACCTGAACAACTTAGACCCTGTGTCATAATAAACAGGAGTAAAGTCGTAAAGCACCCCTGGTTCACTCTCCAATACTTGCGGGGAAATCGATGCAGTGTAGTATATTGAAGGGGTAGGGTTTCCCAGTTGGGAGCCAAGCCAGGCAGGATTTCTGGAGAAGGCATCTCTGTACTAAGTACCTGAGTACAGCACTGGGTGTTCCCAGCCCTTCCAAAGGTGAGGTGCCAGACTTAAGAAGTGTAGTCCCCTGAACTGGCCTGGGCTCAAAAGTACTAGGAAACAACTCAGTACTCCTGCACTCCCTACTGGCCTGATACCATCTCTCTGATTACCTCCCACAACAGTTTGACTTTGGGGACACCATGGTCCACCAGGCCATCCACACCATTGAGTACTGCCTGGGCTGCATCTCCAACACCGCCTCCTACCTGCGGCTCTGGGCGCTCAGCCTTGCTCATGCACGTGAGTATGTTTCCCTCCCACCCAGAGTCGTGGGTTTTCCTTTCTCTGGGCACACCCTCAATTGCGTGAAGGTTTATCCAGCATGTGAAGGTTCTAGAATTATTCTGGCACCTGAATCCAAGCAGAATGAGTACATGTTCTCCAGACCTGAGGAAATCCAGCAGCAGTTGCTGAGGGGCCTCTTCTCGCTATCCTTTTTCTTTGATTACCACTTATGCTAGTTTAGCTGTGCATGGTGAACCCACCTAACTGTGGGAATCCACAGGGCAAGGAACCCTCCAGGGAAGGATGCCAGAGATAAATACAAGGTCCACAGCCACCTCTTGTTAGACTGAATCAGACTTTGTGTCTCCCCATTTCCCAGAACTCTCCGAGGTGCTTTGGACCATGGTGATCCACATCGGCCTGAGTGTGAAGAGCTTAGCTGGAGGACTGGCGCTGTTTTTCATCTTTGCCGCTTTTGCCACACTGACCGTGGCCATCCTGCTGATCATGGAGGGCCTCTCAGCCTTCCTTCACGCACTGCGATTACACTGGTGAGGAGCAGGAGACAGGGGTGGGACACCTCCTTGCCTGCAGGGAGTGCGCGGCTCTCCTTCTGCATAAAATTAAGGGTCTGTCTTCTAGGAGGTGGGAGCTATCCCTTTGCTGGCTCTCATGGCATTACCCTAGTGCCTGTGTTGGCACTGAGCTTTGGAAACAGACCACAGAAAAGCCTAGCTTATCTTTTCATGGGTTTCAGGGAGGGTTCCCTGGTAAGTGTCATCAGGTTCTCATCCCCTGCCTTTAGCGTTCTCTAATTCTCTTGAAGCTAGGTGGTGGCACTTAATTGTAATCCCAGTGACTTGGGAGGCTGAGGTAGAAGGATCACAAGTTTGAGAGCAGCCTCAGCAATTTATTGTTTTGTTAGTTTGTGGCAATACTGGGGATTGAACCCAAGGCCTCTTGCAGCTAGGCCTGAGCTACACCCCCAACCTCAGCAATTTAGCAAAACCCTATCTATATGAAAATAAAAAGGGCTGGGGATATAGCTCAGTGGTAAAGTGCCCGTGGGTTAAAACCCCAGTACCACCACCTGCTCACCCCCACCCCAATAAAAAACACACATTGCTGGAGTTGGTGTTCTCTGTTTGAGATTATTTTGTTCTTGTTTTTTTCTCTCATATCTTTAGAGCAGTAAAAGCACTATAGAGTCTTGGTCCAGGAAAGGGCTAGAGCACACTGCATCCCAGCTTTATCCTTTTATCCCTGTGCCAGTGCTGTTTGGGCAGGATAGTAGCTTAACGGCTTCGTTGTGACCGGGGGTTCCTGGCTACATCATACAGCCGGGTATACTAAAGCAGCTGCTTCGGAAAGACAACTTTGGGTTTTCTTGTTTGCTTGCTTGTTCTCTTTAAGGTACTGTGTGACTCTTAATGGCTCTGCCTGGAGAGAGTGAGCTCAGGAGTGGGAAAACTTGGTTGTGACGGGTGACCTCAATGAGAGTTGTCAGATTTAGCAAATAAAAAAATAGGACACTGAGTTAAATTTGAATTTTAAACAGTGAATAATTTTTAGTATGAGTATTTCTCAATGTGCATGGGACATACTAATACTAAAAACTGGGCAACCCTTTAGGTCTCTATTTCCTTCTTTTGGGGGGGTTGATGGGGGGTACTAGTATTGAACTCAGGGGTACTCACCCCTGAGCCACATCCCCAGCCCTATTTTGTATTTTATTTAGAGACAGGGTCTCACTGAGTTGCTTAGTTGCTGAGGCTGGCTTTGAACTCATGATCCTCCTGCCTCAGCCTCCTGAGTTGCTGGGATTACAGGCGCCACCACACTGGGCTCCATTTCCTTCTTTATGTTATGATTCTCCCTCCTTTTTGGAGTCTCAAAATCCAGAGTTTCTGGAAGCCCTGGATCCTGTCCCCAGAGGAACACTCACCCCTCACCCCCACTGTTACAAGTGGTGAGGGGTCATAAACTCACTGAACCTGCCTCAGTGATGTCTTGGTGGTCTTAAGGCCAGAAGAGGATTTTGAATGTCTGTCATGTTTTCCAGACCTGAGGAAATCTAGCAGCACTTGCTGAGGGGCAAGCTCTTCTCGCTGTCCTTTTTCTTTGACTTTTCTCCTGACTGGATTACAGCCCAACCTCCTCACAGTTGGTTATGCTCAGTTATGGGGGAAGCAGCAAAGCTTTGGCTGGGACTACTCTTCCCTCAAAAGCTGCTCTGGGAGACTGCTGCCATGTCAGTAGATGCTTTCTCTGGCTTGGCCCTTCCCCTCCTGGCTGCCTCCTCCCTACCCAGTGCCTTGTTTACTTGGAGCTGGGAGGTTAGGAGTCTGCCTGTTTCAGACCGCTGGCTTGGCTCCCTGTTCTCAGCTTATCAGTGAACCTCCCCACCACACTTCCTCAGCCACTCCCGGTGAGGGAGCGTCTGCGTAACCAGCCTGTGATGACTCACTTTTTCTTGCCTGCCCTCTTGGCCTCCTTTCTTTCTTGTTAATGTCTCTGTCTCCTGAGCCCTGAGCTGAGGGAACAGTGACTACCCCACCTTGATTCCAGCCCACATGAAGGCTCATTACCTCCTCCCTAGGCAGGGTGAGGAGCCATCAAGGCGCTGGAACAGAGCTGTTGAAAAGATGGCCAAGGCAGGCAGGCTGGGTCATGAGGAAGGCTGCCTACACTTGGGCCTCATCTCTGGAGTGATGCCATGCTTCATTGCTAGGAGAATTACTTCTTGCAAGGTGTGATGGCACATGCCTATAATCCAAGTGACTCTGGAGGTAGAGGCAGGGGGATTACAAGTTTGAGGTCAGCTTAGGCAAGTTAGTAAGACCGTGTCTCAAAATAAAAATTAAAAAGGACTTGGGTTTTAGCTCAGTAGTAGAAAACCCCTGGGTTCAGTCACCAGTACCAAAAAAAGAATTACTTCTTCCTCAGGCTCACATGGCCTTTGAGTGAAAGTGTCTTCCCATGTTCTCCCGAAGGAGTCTGAGGAGGTGGGTGAGTGACAGGAGAACAGGCTTTCGAGTCAGGCTGACTTGAGTTTGGATCTCGACCCTACTATACTGAGCAGGTGGCCCTGAGCAGAGCACCAGCTCTCTGAACCTGCCTTTCTCTCACATGGAGAGAGAGGACAATATCCATGTGATAAGGTCACTGGGAACAAACAGGAAATAACGCACACACCAAGTGTCCGTCACAGTGCTCTGGCATATCCTTTAAACAGGTGTTCAGGTATAGATTGTGGCTATCCTGCTGAATAGTGGGATGCCTGGGAGAGAGGGCATCTGGCTAGGGTATCTCATAAAGAAACTGCTTTTGGCCTCTTTGGAAAGGAGAGATCCCAAAAGGAAGCATGAGATACCATCTGAATGCTCTTAGATACAGTTTGCAAGGAATACGCCTGCTGCACGTCATAGTTTTATTTCTGTTTACTAGTTAATATTGGCAGAAGATAAAAAAAAACAGTGAAAAACTCCTTTCTGAACTTTCAGAATCCCTTCTTTGGAGGGGTGTCACCAATGGCACTTCTGGGGCCACTCCAAAAAAGTGAATGAAATTGGTGCTTATGCGCCCTCTCCTGGCTGAATGTGCATGTGCGCCAAGAGTTCTTGGGTCTTAACAGTTGTCCAGAGTAGCAGGAGGAGTTCAGAGTTGTGGTCACTGCTCAGAAGTAGGAACAGCTGGTCCCGTGGAAGATGGCCACAGGGATATCCCTGCTGGTTGTCCAGGCATCCAACATAGGCATCCTCATGCTTCTTATTTCATCCGTGGTGTTTCCCGATTCCAGGACCACTCCATTGCACAAAGTTCTCAAGTCTCTTCAGTGAGAACGAGAGGAAAAAATATTTGACTTGATAACATATACAGAAATAGTCTAAGATCATGACTTGTTATAAGAAGGTGGGTGACATATTTTAAAACATAACAGGTTAAGTACTAATCTGCCAAGTCTGTCTGTCTTCTGAGTTGTATCTCTCTTTTCCTCCTGCCTACCATGCATTGTATGCTTGGTTTTCTTGCCCACCATAGTTAGATATTTCTTCCTCAGAGAAGGAATAAGGCAGGGATCTGATTGTAGTTACAGCTGATGTTTTTGCAGAAAGACTGTTGCCTGTGGCCTCCCTTCCAAGGAACCTGATTCCTTCTTATCTAACAGATTCTACATGTATCTGAATGTGCACACTGGTGCAATCACAAATTTGTTGATGGTTAATTGGGCATAAATGGGAAGCACTTTGTCATAAGGAATGCAGTGTTGCCACAGTCTGACAACATGGAGTGTTTGAGATAAGGCAGCCCCAGGAGAAATAAGAACCCCTGGAATGTGGCTCTAGGCTGACATCATTGACTGACATTTGGACCATCAGATAGGACATCAGAACTGCTCAGAGAGAGAAGAAAGAGCCAGAAAAGCAGTTCAATCCAGACTGAGTTTCCAAAACTGCCTCAGTCACACCTCTCCAGAAAAGGAAGGGGTCCCAGAACCCCTTCCTTCTTCACCCAGTCAAGAAAAATGGTTTTCTGTCCATGGTAGGAGTGATCTCTTTTGGTCTCCCATTTAGTCTCTATGGGTCACTGGGTGTCCTTTGCCACCTGTGGGACCTGGAAGCCATGATAGAGAAACCTGTCATCCTTCACAAGGTTCTTCTCATATCAGTTTGGATTCTAGAGGTGCATTTTAGTGGCTTGGGCATGGCAGAGCCAGGGAGACTCCCTGAGCAGAGCAGTGCAGTGACCCATAAAGAAAAAGAGCTTTCAGAGTGTCCAGGAGGCCGTTCTTGTCCCAGCACAGAGGACTTTTATGTCTATACTTTTTCAGGAAGTGCATGTTTCCTTGGTTCAGGGGAGGAGGGTGGGGAGACTGATAGGGAAATTGCTTTCCAGTTTTGTGCTGGGAGCTTGGGGTAAGGACCACTGACTGGGGAGACAGGTTAAGTCAGATAAACCTAGGTAGGCATAAGATGTTGAGCTGAGAATGTAGTTCAGTGGTTGACTGCTTAGCTAGCATGTGTGGGGCCTTGTGTTTGATCCCCAGCAACATGGAAAAAACAAAAGATGTCTGTGGTTGTGGCCACCCTAAGTCTCCAGCCTCAAGTACTAGCTGGTGGGAGGGGCAGTCTCGGGTGGTGTGAAAGGGATCTTCTGTCTGCCCACACAGCAGAATTTATTGCCTCATCCCAGATATGTGTCCCCTTCTAGACCCCAGTGGGCCCACATGGTAAGCAGAAGGGAACCAAGAGAAGGGTGGTACCCCCATGGCCATCTGAAAGCATAGCACCTACTCCATTTGCCTTGTTTGGAAATTAGTATTGTGTGATTAGCCAGCCAGGGGGTCAAAATTCTGACTGCCTCACTAGAATTCAGGGGCAATATACCCCACCAATGTGGACAGTTCCCCCTAGGTCTTGAGCTGGACCCTGTAGTATGGCTTGTTCACTGGCTATCAATTGTAGAATGAAGAGAGTATATATAAATCTGTTGCTAAGTCAGTGACTCTGGAGACTGAGGCAGGAGGGTGGCAAGTTTGAGACCAGACTGTCGCAAAAGAAATTTTTTTCTTTTTTGGGGGGTACTGGGGATTGAACTCTGGGACTCTACCACTGAGCCACATCCCCAGCCCTATTTTGTATTTTATTTAGAGACAGGGTCTCACTGAGTTGCTTAGCACCTAGCTTTTGCTGAGGCTGGCTTTGAACTCGTGTTCCTCCTGCCTCAGCCTCCCCAGCTGCTGAAATTATAGGTGTGCGCCACTGCGCCCAGCTCAAAATAAATTAAAAAGTGCAGGGGATGTAGTTCAGAGGTGAGGAACCCCTGGGTTCCATTCCTAGCAACACACACACACACACAGCATTTAGACCCAACAGAAGTGAGAAGCAGAAGCTACCCCTGTTCCCCACCATGTGGCTGCGGAGGCAGCCTCAGTAGCTGGAACCTGAAGGAGGAATTTTTAGGGCATTGAATGTGGGGTGACCCAGGTCCTGGTTTGGAACTGCTCTTGGAGCAACCCTGTGACTGACTTCACTTTGAAGGACCATTCCATTCCCTCCTGAATCCTGTTTCCCAGGAGGAGTGGGCTATCTCAAATGGGAAGTGTCCAGGGCCAGGGAGGCTTTGGGACCTTGGCCCAGCTCCTGCGGAATGTGGGAGTGGAGGGACAAAGCAGTGCTCTCACTCCCACACAGAAAATCCTGCTTCATTCTTCTCCCAGGGGGTGGAGCTGACAGCTGCCACTTGGTGTCCTCAGTCAGTAACCCAAGGCCAAAGGACCTCTGGGAACCCCCAGTGTCACTGGCCATTTCCCACTCCCTGTTTAAATCTTGCCGCCTTGGCTTGGAGGGCAAGCGGTGGCTGAGGCCAGAGGATAAGCAAGGGAACTAAAGGATTCTTGAAGCCTAAAAGTTTCCTGAAGCCTTTGCCCTGCACCCTCCCGTCACCTGTCTCCTCATAGTCCCCACGCCTGCCTGTTCTTGCAGGGTTGTGGTGTCACAAAGTACCAAGTGGAAACTGTGCCTCAGGGCAGCTCTCCTTGGCTTTTTTATCATCTGAATCATGCATTTTTCTGCCCATATTTGGTGGTGCTTTGGCTGCTGGGCAGCCCTCCAGGGCGAGTGGGGGAGGAAGCGATCCAGGCAGCCCTGCTCCCGCTTCTTCCTGCCCCTCTGAGTTAGAAAGGGCCCCAAGGAGAGCTGCAGGAATGGTCGCCTCACTGCCTGGGAAGGGAGTTAAGACCCTGTCTTTCCTTTTGGTCCCCAGAGAAGAATTTTTTCTCAGATGTTTTTGTGGTTGGAGAATATTTTTGCCATTGCTTTGAGAAGACTTCCCCTCCTAACTTCCCCCCTTTCCTAGGAATTTCCGCCCTCAAACTGAAAGCCTTCAGCATTCACTCGCAAGCCCCCCTTCTCCTTCCTCCTCCGAAGAAAAGGAACAAACAAGAACAGTGGTGTTGGCCCAGGGACCCTTGAAGGGGCTTCCCTTAGAGGTGGTTTATGTGAGCCCTTTCCAGGAAGGCCCATGGGGGACCCTTCTTCATGAACTTCATTGCCGTTAGAGACTCAAGCCAACTTGATGCTTTTTGCATGTGGCTCTCTACAAAGAGTTCTGCATAAACACCCTCTGGAAAACGCAAGAACAGGAACTGAGGAACTCCCTGTCCACTCATCCTATATTGAGTTCTTGATGAGGGCAGATCTGGGCTTTAAAAGTGGTTTCCACACTATGGGAAGTGGACTGAGAACAGAGTTTTCACAAGTGCACCCAGGAATGTGAGGCCTGGGGGAAGGTAGGCACAGCACATCTTTTTGGGTCTACTGGGAAGTCCCAAAAAGCTTCAAGAGGTTTCTATGGGCCAGGCATTGTGACGTATCCCTGTTATCCCAGTTACTGGGGAGGCTGAGGTAAAAGGATTGCTTGAGCCCAGGAGCTGGAGGCCAACCTGGGCACTATAGCAAGATATTTTCTCAAAAACAAACAGAAGTTTCTGTGGGATGACATCTGTTCTTTTCCCTCTTTCCAGGGTCGAATTCCAGAATAAATTCTACAGTGGGACCGGTTTCAAGTTCCTACCCTTCTCCTTTGAACACATTCGGGAAGGGAAGTTTGATGAGTAAGCCCCTGGTGGGACCATGCACCCAGGTCCCCTCCCTGCCTCCTTCCACACTGATTAGCTGTGTTCCTTTTGCCTGTTGGTTGTGATTCCTGGACACCAGGGCATTTGTGTCACCCACACCCCCTTCTCCAGCCAAATCTTTAGGAGCTGGCTTCCCTGGGTCTCTCACCATCCAGCTTTGTGTGTCGGGTATGAATGTTTTAGAGAAGTTGGGCTCTGGCTGGCACTTACACCAACTGGGCACCAGCATTTACCTCCCAGCCTCCATCCAGCCAGAGATGTCTCTCCTCGCCCCCTGGTGGTGAATTGATTTGTGCAGGCATGCCATGCTCTGAGCCCTGGGCTTCCTGATGGAAGGAGCAACCATGCCACTGGCATCTACACTTTTGAGTCCTCCACTCCTGCTACTGGAGTTACTGGCTGGGTACTGGAGGGGAGCTCTCTTCCAGGGGGAATGCTCTAAGAAGACCTACTCAGATTAGCAGGGATGGATCCAGGAAAATGTGTTGTTCTTTGCCTCCCCCCCTCCAATGCTTTTTAATCAGGAATTCAGCTAGACCTAACTGGCCATTTTGAGTGACTTCTCTTTGTTATCCTCAAGGGTCTCAAGATACCCAGCAGCATCTTCCTAACCTCCATGCTACACTCCCACCCCACCCCACCCCCATTTGCACCCAGTACAACATAGGACAGCTGGGAGTGCACAGAACAGAGGTCCTGGTTGGCGCACCAACAGGCTTCCCTCCCTTGGATTGGCTACTGCCCAGGCCTTGCTCAGGCCCTGCCCGTAGCACACCCTCAGGGCAGAGAGCTCAGATTCAAGCTCTTTCCTGGTGGAGAACCTGAGACCTTCCCTACCCCTTGATCGTGATGTCTTGAGTACAGGACCAGTCATCAAGGCTGGTTCTGCCTGCAGGCCACTTTGCTCTGTCCAGTAGTGCTCTCTCCCACTTCCACACTGACCTCTGGTCTCAGGAGGGGAGGCCTAGGCAGGGAAGGTCAGCATTATTTAAGGTTTGCTGATTGGAGGTGACTGGCAGAGCTTCCAGTAAGAGTTGCACAGCCCTGCCAAGGAACCACACCCATCACCCCTGCACGCCCTTGGGCTGGGGCCTTCAAATCATGTGCTGGCGCAGCATCCCGAGCTGCTCTAGCTAAATTCATCCCCACAACCTTCGAGGTGGAGGTAATACCCTGAAGCAGCCATACCCATGCCCTCCTCCCACCCTGGTGTTTCTGAGTGAGCTACAGAGAGCTGTTCACACACTCTTCTAGGCTGGGCTGGCCCTGGACATGGACCACCCTGCCCCTGCTTCACTGTGTGCTGGCCTATTCTGACCTGACACAGATCTTGTACAAAGCCCCACACCTCTTGTGCCCTGGTTCACGTGGTGATCTTTATTCTGTGTACAGTGGGATTTGAAGCAGAGTTCTTGGTCAGGAACCCTACCCAAGGCCCCTCTCTTTAGACATTCCTGTGCTGAATAAAATGTGTTTGACTCTCCAGTGAGGCTGCCTGTGTCTGTGCTCACAGCCCCTGTGTCGCTCTGGGTTCAGCCCTTGAGTCCATTTGGTGCCCCACACACTCTGCATCCTGCCAGCTTTTCTGCTTTTATTTCCGATCAGAGGCCACAGCTGCCATGGCCCTGACTGGGCAGTTTGTGAAATTTTGACCTTATCTCAAGTTTCCCAGGTGGCTGCTCGCTCAGATGAGCCAAGGCAGCTTTGCAAACACTGCAAGTGGCATGAAGGGGACAGGGAAGCCCGGCTTCAATTTTTCTTCCCTCACTGTATATTCTAACAGGATGGGGAGGAGGGGGTTTGGGCATCTGACCTCTCCCTTCTCCAAGTGTGGTCTCTGGGCTCAGAGGCCTGGCTCTTTTGAGCCCTGGAGTAATTGGTCATGGTGTAAGTGGAGGTTCTACGTGGGTTTCTCAGGGAAGCTGAGGAATGTGAAATGCTGAGGTAGGCAGGCAGCAGGCCAAAGAGCCAGCAGGACCTTGCAGGGAACCCCGCTGCACAAGAAGGGCCCTTCTCCCCTCCTAACTTGTCCTGTGAGGTTTACACATTCTCCCTCCTCATTCCTCCAGGGCTGGGGCCGCACAAAAAGTGCAATCTGACATCTGCTGCTCAGGGATCGGTGGGAGGAACCAGGACACACTGTTCACTTTTTGGTCCTTATCTCACTCTAGCCTCAACCTTTACTCCCCAATAGCAGTGCATCTGCCTCTGAAGTACGCCCACCCCAGGCTCCTCAGATAAAAGGGTTAGGATGAAAATTCTGGTCAATGAGCTCTTTTCGCCTGTGCTCTGTTACTGCCTCAAAAAGGCCTAATCAGAATAGATATTTAAAATCAATGAAATAGAATCGAGAGTCCAGGAATAAATCTCAGCGTTTATGTTCCGGTGACTTGACAGAGGGACCGAGGTATTTTGGTGAAGAACAAACTTTTTTTTTTTTTTTTTTTAACAAATGGTCCTAATACTGGGTATCCACATACAAAGGAACAAATTGCACTGCTACCTCATACTGTACAAAAATAAACTCAAAATACAGTTAAATGTAAGAGTTAAAACCAAAATGCCCTGAGAGGAAATCATAGGAGCACATCTTGGTGACCCTGAGTTAGGCACTGATTTTTAGATATGACACCCAAAGCACAAGTAACAAGATAAAAATGTAGATAAGATGTGCTTTAAAGGTCAGAAATCAAGAAAAATGGAAAGAACACTGGGTATGGTGGTAAACACCTCTAATAATTCCAGGAGGCTGAGGCAGGATTCCAAGTTTGAGGCCAGCCTCGGCAGTTTAGCAAAAACCTGTCTCAAAAATAAAGACACACTTTTTAAAAAGGGGATAGGGAGGGGGCATTGTGGTAGAACACTCACCTAGCATGTGCAAGGGCCTGGGTTCAACCACTTGTATGAGAAAAGAATAAAGTATTTGCAGCAAATCATACATATGGTAAGGGACTTAGAATATATAAATAACTCTTCCTCAATCCTCAGCACCACATAAAAATAAAGAAAGATAAATAACTCTCCAAACCAAGAATAAAGACTTTTCCCTCCCTGGCTGTAGGGGGATTGAACCCAAAGGAGCTTTACCACTGAGTTACATCTCTACCCCTTTTTACTTTTTTATTTTTTGTGGTGCTGGGGGATGAACCCAGGCCCTTGTGCATGTGAGCCAACAGTCTACCAACTGAGCTATATCCTCAGCCCTTTTTATTACTTTTTAAAGTTTTCTCTACTTATTTAAAAAAAATTTTTTTTAGTTGTAGATGGGCACGATACCTTTATTTTATTTATTTACTTTTATGTGGTGCTGAGGATTGAACCCAATGCCTCACACATGCCTCACGCAAGTGCTCTGCTTCTGAACTACAACCCCAGCCCTTATTTATTTTTGAGACAGGGTCATGCCCAGGCTGGCCTCAAATCTCAAACTTGGTGATCTTCCTGTCTCACCCACTCAATTAGATGGGATTACAATCATGTGCCACTGTGCTCAGTTTAAAGACAATTTTTTAAAACAGGCAAAGCATTAGACATTTCTTCAAATAAGCTGTTTCATTTTTTAAATATTTTTTTTAGTTTTTTTTTAAGGTGGACACTATCTTTATTTTACATTTATGTGGTGCTGAGAATCGAACCAAGTGCTAAGTGAGCATGCTACCACTTGAGCCACATCCCCAGCCCCCGAAATAAGTTGTTTCAATGGTCAAAAGATGCTCAACATCTTTTCACAGGTTTATTGCAAATCAAAATGAGATACCATAGCACATTCACTGAAGAGAGACAATTCCAAGTGTTTGTGAGAAGTTGAAACCCTAGCTCACTGCTGAATGGAACAGCTACTTTGGAAAGCAGTCTGGCAGTTAAATGCTAAACAGACCTGTAGCATACACCTGTAATCCCAGCAACTCTGGAGGATGAGGCAGGAGAATTGCTTGGGCAATTTAGCAAGATCCTGTCTTAGAAAATAAAGGAACGAGAGCTGGGTTGTAGCTCAGTGGTAAAGCACTGCCTAGCATGTGTGAGGCACTAAGTTGGATCCTCAGCACCTCATAAAAATTAATAAAGGTATTGTGTCCATCTACAACTAAAAAATTAATAATAAAAAAATAAAGGACCATGGATATAACTCAATGGTAGAACACGCATCGTGCAATCCCTAGTGCCACCCAAAAAAAAAAAAAAAAAAAAAAAGCGTTGGGGAGACTGCAGTTGAGGGAGGAGTCTCTTCTGGGGGATGAGAAAAATATAGTTAGCCTTAAGATGACGGTTGCGGGCTGGGGTTGTGGCTCAGCGGTAGAGCGCCCGCCTCCCACGTGAGAGACCCAGGGTTCGATCCTCAGCACCACATAAAAATAAATAAGTGAAATAAAGGTGTTGGTCCAACTACAACTAAAAAAAAAAAAAAAAAAAAGATGATGGTTGCACAATTCTAAAACCACTTCACTGTATATTTTAAATTGGTAAAGTTTTTTGCATGTAATCTCAACAAAGTGGAAGATAAAGAGGCCCAGCGTTTCCCTGGAAAGAAATTCCTCTCTTGTCTGGCTGATAAGAACTTAGGGGAAGCATACCCCATTGGTCCTTGGTATGAGTTCTCAGAATATAGTGGCCTTGGACTGTTTGCAGCACGGCCAGCTAAAGATGGACTGACCATGGGCTGAGCTGGAGTCTGCAGAAAGTCCCGGAATACTGGGTGGGGGTAAGGAACAGGATGGTTCTATTGCTCCTGAATTTTTTTGTGGTACTGGGGACTGAACCCAGGGCTTCATGGATGCTAGGCAAGCCCTCAACCACTAAACCCAGCCCCCACTGCTCCTGTTTTTAAGGATAACACCTTTTCCTGTAGAATCCCCGAACCCCAAACGTATGAGTTGGTCTGTACTTTTGTTCAGGAAATACCCCCCATCTGAGGCCTTAGAATCAGTGTAGGGTAGGGTCACATGGGCCTCCTGGTCTTGGGGAGTCCCAGCCATCATAGATAAGGGACAATTCCATCACCACCTTCATTGGATGGGACTGCACATTTTACTTTCCAGGAGCTCTGGGTATAAGGCATATGGCATGGGTATGCAAAGCTTTCTGGCAGTCTCTGCCCTTCAATTCAGGGAGTGCCCCCTGCTCCCCCAACAGCTTCCAGCGACCACAAGGCAGGTCCTAGGTTTAGGCTGCCCCCTAATGGCCAGACAGGGGAGAACTCATTCTTCAGGCCAAGTGGGCTGGGTTCCTAGCTGGACTTGATGGGCAAGTAACTGGATTGGTAGGGCAGAGGAAGAAGCACTCCTGAGACTATTCTGGGGTGTGTGGGCAGAGCAACAGGCTGGCCAGGGACAAAAGACAGATGAGATGGAGAGCAAGCAGGGCCCCCAGGCAGCTTGTTTCACACATTAACTGAAAGAGTAATAAAATGTGTCACATGGTAAAAGAATCAAACAGTAAAAAGGGCCCTATTATAAATAAGCAAGTCTTCCACTCTCAGTGATCAAGTACTCCAGCACTTTCACAGTAGTTTTTTGTTTATTTATGTATTTTTGGCACCTGGATTGAACTCAGGGGCACTCAACCACTGAGCCACATCCCTAACCCTATTTTGTATTTTATTTAGAGACAGGGTCTCACTGAGTGGCTTACTGTCTCGTGTTTGCTGAGATTGGCTTTAAATTCATGATCCTTCTGCCTCAACCTCCCGAGCTGCTGGGATTACAGGCATGTGCCACTGTGCCCAGCTTGTTTGTTTGTTTGTTTTTTAGAGTTGTAGATGGACAGATTGCCTTTGTTTATTTTAATTTATTTTTTAGTTTTCTGCGGACACAACATCTTTGTTTGTATGTGGTGCTGAGGATTGAACCCGGGCTGCACGCATGCCAGGCGAGCGCGCTACCGCTTGAGCCACATCCCTAGCCCGCCTTTGTTTATTTTTATATGGTGCTGAGGATCAAACCCAGTGTCTCACGTGGGCAAGTGCTCTGCTGCAAAGCTACAGCCCCAGCCCTTGTTTGTTTATTTGTAACACAATTGTAGTGTACTATACTCATTAGCTTGATATTTTTTGTTTTTATTTTTTTCTTGAGCGGGGGTGCATCTCACTGATACCCAGGTCTGGGACTCCTGGGCTCAAGGAATCCTCCTGCCTCTGCCTCCCAAGTAGATGTGACTATAGGGGTGCACCACACCCAGCTTGAATTAATATGTATACACACACACACACACACACACACATTCATTTATATATTTGGTACTAGGGTTTGAACCCAGGGGTGCTTTATCACTGAGCTATATCCCTAGTCCTTTTAATTTTTTTTAATTTTGAGACAGGGTCTGGCTAAATGGCTAAAACTGGCCTGGAACTTGTGATCCTGCTCCCAAGTTGCTAGAATTACAGATGTGGGTCACCACACCCAACCTTTTAAAAATATATTCTGTAGAACATTCTGAACTAGCACATGTTGTAGGGGAAGAAAGATGTGATATCTTTCCTTGCCCATCAG